TATCATCTTGATCATGAAATATATTGTGATTTAGCTGTTGTGGTTTGGCTATTGCTCATACCAAGTGCTTTAATGATTTTCATGGAATGTGATAAAATGGATTGATTTTAAAAAAATATACCTTGTCTTTAAGAAATCATGTCACCCCCGTCAATTCTTTGACCTGCTGATTTGTCGAGAAGGAAATGTGGAGAGTTCATAAGAAAATATGTAAACTTGCTCAAGTTAATAAAAAGGGGGCCTAGGATAAACCCCCAAGATGAACTTTTATAACATGGGAACAAACGTGCCAGACCCCACTCTAGCTCCACCTTCAGCAATTGCCTACAGGTGATAAACTCCTTACTTTCCTGAAAAAACGATACCCTTCCTCCTAATCTGAACCTGAGCTTGCAGAGTTTTCATTAGCTCCCCCTATAATCAAAACTTTAAAAGGAGACTCTCCCTGCCATGAGGCATGAACCTACTCACGTCTCACCTTGGGTACTCTTCCCTGACTCTAAAAAAACTAACATCTCACAAAAACTGTCAAGGGTTAGGTAGTGGCATAGTGGTAAGGCAATGCAACCACCATGACTAAGGTCATTGGTTCACATCCTAGAATCTCATGGATCATGCTGGGTGATCAATGTCAACTGAGATCAGGTGCATTGAGTCCAGAGACCCCATTGGGCATGCCTGTCTCTATGTTCACCTGTCTCTCTAACATGTAAGAGATTTTCAAAAAATCTAAACTCTTTTTTTTTTCTAAACTCTTATAATACAAGATGTCCCTAATTATTCTTACATGAATTTGCAACATATAAAAACAATTTAAATCAATCAGTATCTTGATAGAGAATGATGACATACTCAGAAGGGTTGAACAGAAAAGAATTTAATCAAGGGACTGAGTGTACAGGCATGGAGAGGGTGTAGAAACCCAAGACATAATTGAAGAACTAAGGTTGAAAGGACCAGGCCAATGGGAAGTCAGTACAACTTCTGAGCCAAAGGAAGAAGGGGGAGGTGCTGCATTACTGGAGCTTAAGGAAGGGATGGGGACAGGGTGACCAAAGGCAGATATTTGATCAAACCAGAAAGGTGGGGTGTAGAAAGGGGTGACCCAAATGCTCTGGACTCTCTTCACTACCCCCTTAAACTTCAGGTCATGCTTCCCATTAGCAGACCCACCTGAAGGCCTAGACAATGAACTCTGTGGGTGTCAGGCTCCTGGAGCACACACAAGGCAGGGAGGCCAGGTAGTGGACTGGGTGCAGGGTGGGCACCCTAGATAACCAGCACAGCGCTACCAGGTTATGATGTGACCGTATGTAGATGCTCATGCACATTTATTGATGAACACAGACTGTTTTAATGCTACCCCTTTTGTGTGAACTTACAAAACAATTTCCTGATGCATTGTTCATTTTATCTAGGCCATCTACTTTTTATATCATCTAAGTTTACTTTTTACATTAATCTCTTCAAAACGCTATGAAAGAAAAAGATTGAACTACATATGGCAGATGAGAAACACAAACTATTGAAAGTTTAGATGATTTGCTAAAGCCCGTAGGGGCAACAAATAGGGACCCAAATGTCTCCCCTTCATCGACAATGGCTCTGGCACATCATTTCCGCCGCACCTTTCACTTGTGAGTACGGTGTTGAAGGAGAAAAGCTCTCCCTGTCCAGAGACCAGGAGACAGTTTAGATCCAGACACTGTGGGCTTGAGACTCAAAGACATGTGCTGAATTTTCTTATTTGTGAAATTAGATCAATAACAGGTGCTTTGTGGGGATTTTATAGATGAAGTGAAGCACCAAGGCTAAGGCACAGTAGAGGTTCCAGAAATCTCAGTTCTCCATTAACTCTCAGACAAATCTCTAGCTCCCATGATTATTGACTCTGCACAGTTCTGGGATCCAAGGTTGACATAAATTACTTTTGTTTGATTCACCTGTGTGCCAGACACAGATGCACCTGAAATTCCAATACAGTACTATCATAATTCATTATGTAATACTAACAAAAAAGTTACCTCTTAGAGATAGGAAAATGTTCCCATGGCAGCACTTCCTGTTTGATACTAACTGATACATAAGAAAGGGGGAACCCCCAGAATGCTATAGCTTCAGGACCAAAGGTCCTGAAGAGCAGAGAGTGGATAGAGAGTAGGTGACAGTGTGATTTGAAAAGAGATCATCTAAGGAGCATCTAGTGCCTCCTATCGCCTCCCTGTGGCCCACGTCTGATTTCAGCCTCAGCTGCAGTGCACTTGTGCACAGGGTCACACTCACCCCATGCTGATCCTGCTGCCTCAAGTAGGAACTTGCTGCTTTTTCCCTGGGGTCTTGCTGCTTTTTCCCTGGGGTTTTCTGCGGTATCCTATGCACCCACTTGGCCTGAACACAAAGATAGTCCCTGAGAGACCACATTTTTTATTCCCACAAAAGGGAAGAGACACAGAAGGCTCCTCACTGGACCTGGAATGGACATCAGACTCCACTTCTGTGTGGTCATTTGTCTCCTATGGGCAGGTGAGTACTGGTTAGAAGGGAACATATATCCCTGGAATTCTTAAGTCCTCAATATAAGCCTTTCTATGGAGCAGACATTGTTTGATTGTGTCACTCTCTATTCCAGGACCTGTGGATGCTAGAATCACCCAGAGCCCAAGGCACAAGGTCACAGTGAAGGGAAAGAATATGATTCTAAGATGCCACCAGAATGACAACCATAACTACATGTACTGGTATCGGCAAGACCTGGGACATGGGCTAAGGCTGATCCATTACTCATATGGAGTTAACAGCACCACCAAAGGAGATATCCCAGATGGGTACAGAGTCTCCAGATCAAACACAGAAGATTTCCCCCTCACTCTGGAGTCAGCCACTCCCTCCCAGACATCTGTGTACTTCTGTGCTAGCAGTGACACCACAGCGCTGCACGACTGCCTCTTCCCTGCACACAAAGTATCATTGGGAAGTCCACGGTTTATCTGTGCTCACGAGGCCTGGCCCCATCCAGACAAGTCTGGTCCACATGGGAGTCACAGAGCCATAGCTAAACTGGGTGTTTGAAACAGGGGTGATACAACATGGAGTGTTTAGGTCCATTCCTGTGCCACTCTCACCCCGAGTAGAGGCCACTCAGCCCACTTAGCTCTCTCATCTCTCTTCTTCAATTCTCTCATATTGCAGAAAGGAAAAATGCATCTTTAGCTGAGATTTATGATGACTTGATAGTAGTTGATTAAAAAATAAGTGATAAAGGTATTTTCTTTCATTTTCTACAAGGAAATACTGACAGATACTTACTTTTCAAAAACAGTTAGACTACTCTTAAGAATACTCACACTACACAGAAATAGGTGATTGTCTCTTGATGGTAACGTATATGGTATCTTCAACCAGACTGGTGTGAAGTGTATTCATGTTGGGTAAGTTCACTTTACAAGTTGTAGTATATATAGTGATTGTATAAAGTAAATAAATAATAATAATGAATAAAATTGAATACATATATTGTTTAAAAAAAGAATGCCAACACTATCAGTAGATCATACTTTAATTTAGAACAATCTTGAGAACTGTGAGATCTACATTCTTTGCCTCAAACAGTTCAAGTCCTGAGCTGGAAAGCTCTCGTTGCTGCCCTGACTCAGCCATGAACAATTGGCTCCTTTTTGTTGAGGCTGTTGGTCTCCTGTGCTCAGTGAATTCTAGAAATAGGCGGGAAAGCCAAACTGTGGTTTCAGGCCCTGGTCACAGGCCTTTCCATTAGGAGCTCCATACATCTCCTCATTGCCTCCCCTGGTTCTATGTCCTTTTGATTGAGGCATGGCTTACTTGTCAAGAGTAAATGGAGGTCTTTATGCCAGGATTGAATTCCTCACACTGAGATCTGACTCGTACCCTCAAATCCACCACATTCTTCTCTCCCCTGTATATGCCAGTACTTTGGCATCTTCCCTTTCCCATGGTCTCTCGTAACTCTTCAACTCACACTCATCAACCTTTACTCCTCTGGTCTCTGTTTCTGGATTCCTTATTCTATGGGACAACACCCTTGAGATGTCCTGAGTCTTGGATCCTCCGTTTGTCTCTTCATCAAATTGCAAGTCCTCCTTGGTTTTCTGCTCCAGCCACTCTTTGTACCTTCACTTACTTCCTCACACTTTCTACCCTTGATATCTTTATTTATTTTTTAAACAGGCTGTTGTCTGCTGCTTGTGTGCACTAAATTTACATCCATCCTTATTCCTGGGTTTCCACTTTATTCTTTATGTGAAAATATATTCTAAGTGTATTTACTCTTAATTATGAAAAGAAAAACTTAAAATTTACTAAAAGAATTAAAGAAAACAGTTTTAATATTTGGGGAAGAATTAACTTTAGTGGAAACACAAAATAACACAAGCTATGAAGAACAATATATATGATTTCAAGTGCATTAAATTCAAATGCAGTACATCAAATATATCAAAAACCAAGAAATGCTAACTCATGTCTGGGAAAAGACATGAAGATGCATATGATGAGGAGCATCCAGGGTCACTGACATTCATGTTCCCTGTGGCTCCAGCCTCATGTGTGGTTAGAGTGTTGGGAACATAGGATGAAGTTCTCTATAATCGGATTTGGTAAAATGATGGAAGCCAATTCTGAGCTTGGCCCTTGAAAATATCTTGGCAGTGTGCCAGGTGGTGATTCAAAGGAAATGCAACTGGACCCACAGGGGAAAGGTTTTGGGTTCATATTCTGGTAACTCCTGAGTGCTGAGTGTGCACACACATGCCCGTGATCTGGGTTGGTTGACCCAGAGGTGGATGGCACCGTGAGGACTCTGTTGGAGGAGCCTGTATTTCTGTTTGTCTCTATTTTGTGTGTCTATCTGTAATGGAAGACATTAACAAGGACAGTAAAATAATAGCCTGCTGCAGTGATATGGGGTCCCCGAGTATCTTCATATTTTTTAGATTAGCTGGAAGGATTCAAGGAATACAGCATCTAGCTGTACTCATGCTTAAGATTTATTAACCTGACATAGTAGGTTTTCAGCAGTGTATCAGAGGGGAGAAATACAGGTGGAATCCAGAATAATTCACATGTAGGCTTCTCATGCTCTCTTCTTCCCAGAAGGGGTCACACAGAGCTTACTCTAAATCAAGAAACAAAAATTCTGCTACATGTCTACAAAGTACCTATTAATGGGGTTCATTAAAGATTCAGAGCTCAGGGTCAACCAGTGCCTTGGCAATTAAGGTGGCTGGATTCTGTGTAGCTGACCACATGAGTCTGGAATTCAGTGGCTCGAAAAAAAAAATGCTGGGCACATGTTTGCATGCCCATAATTATAATGACCCAGAAATGTGGATAAGTGATTGTGGTATGGCCATCCTCCATGGGGGATTGACCCTGGAGGTGGATGGCAACATGAGGACCCTGTTGGAGGAGGCTGTATTTCTGTCTGTCTGGGTGATTTTTCATTTTCCATCTCTCTTTCTCTCTATTGCTCTCTCTCTGTTTCTATCTGCCCAATGCATGTCTCCTCTGGCTAATTGGAATAAGAAGTTCAGAGTTCAAGAGGTTTTACTGGGGAGAGAAATGGAGGGGCAGGGCATTTGTGGGACAGACAGATTGGTTATTGTCTGTTGATGATATGTAGAGTATTCCCAACTGGATTGGTGAGAAATGTATACATGTTGGAATCTTCACTTTGCAAGCTAAGTGACATATGTACTTGAATGTATAAATAAATTGAAATAAAAATATATTAAAAATAAATAAATACCACCATAAAAATAAAAAAAATTAAAAAGAGGTTTTATTGAAGGCTGTTCATGCAGGCACACTGACAGACACCAAATTCCATATTCTAGAAGGAAATCTGGCAGTCAGCTTCAAATTGTTTGAACAGTCTAGACCCTGTGAGCAACCTCCTCAGTTAGGAAACTTAGTACCTTTAGGTAACTAGTTACCACCCTTTATCTCAGATCATAGCGAAGGCCAGTCTTGTAAGGAAGATGTTCTGAACCAAGGCAGTCACAAGCATGCAGTGTCAACTCTCTTTGCCATGCCTGAATGAATCAGGGAGTACACAGTAATTGTTCCATGGAGGTGGGTTCTAAATTGGTGGATGGCACTGAAGAAGGCTGCTCATGCCACAATGGGCTTGTGGTTGTGGGAGGTAAGACTTAAGAGTTGAGCCACTGAGATTTTCGAATTTGTTTTGTATTATTTTGTTTTCTGTATCAGCTCTCCTGTCTAAAAGAGTTACTATCTCCAATTCATAAAGAATCTTTGTTACACAATATGGAAAGCACCACCCAATAAAATGGCAATAAACTAGGCAACTCACAGAAGAGGAAACAAAAATTACCAACTAAATATGGGACTAGATTCTCACTCTTATTCAGCATCAGAATATGGCAAACTGAAACAGTGAGTTATGAGTTTTGAATGAACACACTGGAAGGGCTTCAAAAGAATGATAGTCCTACATATGAGTAGATATTGGACAAGCTGAAATCGTCTCACACCAATTAAATACATCATCTTTGATAATGTCCTATTAAAAAAAATCAAGACAAACTCACTACTCAGGCAATGTAAAGATGCCTGTTTTGAGATTCATGTCACCCCAGTAGAAGAAATATGCATGTACTAGCCACTGTAGTTTAATTGTACATTTTGTTAGATGAGTAATTTTCTTTTTGGGGGGCAGAAGATCTATTTAATTTGTATTTGTTGATATTATTTTTGCTCTGATATTTCCTGAGATTGCAACCCTTCTTAGGTAAGACGTCCAACCTTGCATTTGTGACATCGGTGACCCATAGGCATCATGGTAAAGCCTGCATTCGGTATGGATGCATCATGAGAATTGAGGGAAGCAAAGAGGACACTGAGTATTAGTCTTCAGAGAAGACGAAAGTTTCCATGTTTGTGATCAGGGTGTTATTTTACCACTATATATCGGAACATGTCAGGTAGTTCCATGTGCTTTTGGAATAAATACCCCAGCTTCCATCTTGTTTAGGCTCATGAGACTGTGGGAATGGAGAACCTAGAGAAAGAGAATGTCCAATATGAATACTCATGGATTAAAAGGTCACTCACTGCTACTTCAAATTGGAGTTGCCTTTGGTAAATTTAAGTTGACGCCAGCATCAGAGTTTGACAAATTTAGAGATGTAGTGAGCACTACAACTGCCAGCATCCTGGACTGAGAGTGAGGACAATCGTTTGAACTTACACACAGGCTATGAATATGTAAACCTACTTTGAGGTCTGCTTTAGTTTACAATGATTGGAAGATCGTGTGCCTGTGTAGAAACAGTGACATCACCGTGGTAACTGCCATGTGGGGACAGAGGACCTCCCTTGTCCTCTGCTCCTGCTCACAAGGATGTTGACCTTCTGTCTTCATCTGCCATGGTCACCAAGCTCCTCTGCTGGGTGGTTCTCTGCCTCCTTGAGACAGGTGAGTCCTCAGAACACGGAGCAGATTAGATGTGTATATGTGTATTGGGGACAGAGGGTATGTATGGAGTGTGTGTGTTTGTGTGTCCATGTGTGCGGTGACCACAATATTTTTCTTCATTCTGTTCCCAAATTATGTCTCCACAGGTCACACAGATGTTGGGGTGTCCCAGTACCCTAGGTATAGAGTCACAGTGCGGGGACAGAATGTAACACTCAAGTGTGACCCAATTTCTGGACACACTCGCCTTTACTGGTACCAACAGACTGTGAAGCAAGGCCTGGAGTTTTTGCTTTACTTCCAAGGCACAGATATCCCAGATAAATCAGGGCTGCCCAGTGATCGGTTTTCTCCAGAGAGGCCTAAGGGCTCATCCTCTGCTCTGAAGATCCAGCCTGCAGAGCCAGAAGACTCAGCCATGTATCTCTGCGCCAGCAGCTTAACCACAGTGGGGCACTGTCCCCTCCTTCCTGCTCATAAAGCTCCTGTGCTCAGCTTTCCCCACAGTTCTCAGAAGCTCTCACCAAGGAGCTGCCCTAATCTTCCCACATCAAAGGGCAGAAATGCATTTGGGACTCCAGGTGCTCCTCTGACAGGAGGTCAGGAAATAGCCTTTGAAATACCAGATCAGCTAACACTGGGTAGTAATAACTTTACTTATGGATTTCTGGGATTCTTTATACTCAGTTTAAGATTCTACAGCTGTGTGTGTGTGTGTGTGTGTGGCGGGGGGACCAGCAGTTAGCATAAGGGCTATGCCACTGGACTCCCACGTAGTTAACCGTGGTTCACGTCCCGGACCTGGTGGCTTAAAACTCACGCCGGGCGCGTGTGCATGTGTGCCCAAGATCCCCAGAGGAGAATAGAGGAGAAGGGATTGCGGTGTGGCCATCCCCCCTGGGGGGTGTTTTCTTGCTTTCTGTCTCTCTGTCTCTCTCTGTCTTTCTGGTGAGCGCACGTGCCCTATGGCAAAAACCTCTAAAAAAAAGATTCTACAGCTGGGTTAAAAACATTGGAGCTCAGTCTTAGGGATAGTGATGAAGAAAATATTTTCTTAGAAGACCACAGATTTTCAGCAAACTTGTAATAAATTCCTATTACTGAATGTCAATAGCTCAGACCTACACTATACCAAGGAATGAGCTAGCTGGAAAAACAAAACAAAACAGTATTAAGGCCATTTGTATGTATCAGCCTTAAAAATACAGAATCCTTAGTAAGAATGGGCATCACAGTCAATTTTCAAAATTAACTCTCACACACAGTATTGAAATTTAGCACATGTCCATCTAGTGATCTTTTATTTCTATAGAAAAGCCTGTAGTCAATTTGTGTTTAATTCTCTTTTGTCTCAGTGTAACCGTTTCTAAAAATAGAAACTGAGTTTTAGATTAGTTTCATAGAACCCCACCTAAATAATAGTTTTATTTGTTGTATAGGATTCTTTGATGTTTTACAAGTTGTACTAATTTACACTATAACCAGAAGTACCTGGGATTTTTAGTTTTGGTTGGCTCTCTCTCTCTCTCTCCTTCCATCTCTCTTTTTCTAGGTTATTCTTTTTTTTTTTTTTTTTTTTGCTACTGGGAGCATGTGCTCACCAGAAAGAAAAATAGAGAGAAGGAAAATGAGAAATCACCCCCTCCGAGTGTGTGGGATCATTATGTTGCATTCCCATCTCCTCCAGTCTCCTGTTGAGATTTTTGGCATGTACACACATGTGCCCAATGTGATTTTCAATCTCTTAATGGTGTCTTTTTTTTTTTTTTTTCACTATAGGGAGCGTGCGCTCACCAGACAGAGAGAGAGAGACGTAGAGACAGAAAGCGAGAAATCACCCCCCAGGGGGGATGGTCACACACACCGCAATTCCCTTCTCCTCCATTTTCCTCTCGGGATCTTGGGCATGCACGCACACACACCCGGTGTGAGTTTTAAGCCACCGGGTCCGGGACGCGAACTGCGGTGGACTACGTGGGAGTCCAGCGACAGCCATTACGCTAACTGCTGGTTCCCAATGGTGTCTTTTGATAAGCCACAAACATTCTGCATTTCCTCTTTTTTTGTTGGCATTTTTTTTCTTTTGTTGATCACTTTAACAAATCTTTGCCTACTTCAGAATGATCACATTTTCTTATGTTTCTTTCTAAAATGTTTGTATTTTCAAGCCATCACACTTATATCTGTAATACAACAGGAATTAATTCTTTGTATGTGATACAACAATGGGTCCAATTATATTTTTCCACATGGTTATTCAATATACACAATACTATTTATTAAAAGATAATCTTTTCCTCACTACTTAAAATTTCATTTTTATTATAAATCAGTTACTGTATATGTAAGAGCCAGTTTTTTTAAATTTCTATTCTATTTTGATGTTTTTGTCAGTTCTTTCACTAATAGCTCACGATCTTGTTTACTATGGCTTTATAAGAGTTCTTAATATCTGATAGTCTGATTCTTCAAGGTTCTTTCTTTTTTTGGAGAGATTTTTGCTGTAAGGTGTATGTGCTCACTGGAAACACAAAGAAAAAAACTAAGAAATCACCCTGGGGGATAGTCATGCCACAGTCCCTTCTAATCTATTCTCTTCTTGGAATTCTGGGCATGCATGACACGTGTCCGACTTGAGTTTCAAGTTGCCAGGTCCAGCACTCAAGCCGCGGTTGAACATGTGGAACTCCAGTGCCTTTCCTACAATGTCACCAACTGCCCCCGTTTGTTCCTTTTTGTCAAGACTTCTTGACCCCTCTAGATACTTTATTTTATATCCTTATGAAAGATCATCGAACTTTCATAGAAACTGTGTATAATGAAAAAGATCCATGAGTGGATTTAAGATAGTTTTGCACCAAAATAAACTTATATTGTAATCCAGTTTTTCATAAACTTTTTGAGGTCTCATATATTTTACAGTCAGTTTGCTAAAGTTTTCAAGAAAAATAAATGTCTCAGAAATGATCTGCTTTTTATTTCCAACTAATGTAAGTGTATCACAGGGTAAAACTAAGAAAGTTGATAGAAATACTATAATATCTATCACCCCACAAAATAAAATAGAAATATTTGACCTCTAATTAAAACTATCTAACCTTCTCTATGCAAAGAATTGGGAAAATATAACCTGTAGTAGGAAAAAAAATCAGTTAAATCCAAAAATACAAATCAATAGACAAATATTAAAATAGTTATTATAACTTTAGCCCATATGTTCAAATTTGTAGAAATATGAATATATAAAAAGATCAATAGAAAGGAGATCAAAATCAAATGTCTTGATTTCAATACCTTTACAAAATAAAAAATAATAATTGCAATGTGTGTGCTGAAAAATACATCAGATGGGATTAATACTTGATCAGACATTACAAAGGAAAAGATTAATACATTTGAATATGGAAAAATAATCTAAAATGTACTCTTTTTACAATTTGAAATACACAATATACAATTATTTATTATAGCCATCGTGCTGAGCAGTAGTTCTCCAAAACAGTCCTTCTGTCGACCTAAAACTTTCTACTCCTTGCCAGGAATCTCCCCATTCCCCACTCCACTCCACCTCACATGAGGTAACTGCCGTTCTGCTCTCTCCTGTGAGTCTGACTCGTTTAGGCTCCACACATAAGAGAGGTCATGTGGTATTTGATTTTTTGTGCCTCACTTTTTACACTTGGTTAATAAATTCAAGCATTGTTTATGCTGTTGCAAATGACAGAATTTGTTTTTTCCAAAGGCTGAATGGTATTTCATTGTCTATATACATTTTCTTTGTTCATTGACACATGGACGGATTCTTCATTTGATAACATACATAAGCTGTTGTAAACAACGTTGCAGTGACCACAGGAGCCAGACACGTCCTCAAAATAGTTCTCGTGGATACATGCCCTGCAGTGGGACTGCTGGAGCAGAGGGTCATTATATTTTATTTTATTGAGAAATCTCTCTTCTCTACAAAGGCTGTGTAATTTACATGGCCCCCAACAGGGTGCTAGGGTACCTTTTGTCTGCAGCTGAGCCAACACTTGTCTTCCTCTGTTATGTTAGAAAGCATTCCACAGGTATAAGGTGATTTCTAATTGGGACTTTAGCAACAATTTTCTGGTTAGTGATTTTGAGCATGTAGTATATATACCTGTTGGCCATGCATTTGTCTTTTTAAATTTTTTGAGAACTCTCTGTTCAGGTGTTTGATATTAATTAAATGAAGCATTTTCTTTCTTTATGCAAATTTTTAAAATGCCTGTAGGGTTTTTTTTTTTTTGGTAATAGTAATTTCCATAAAATTTATTAATTTCTTTCCTATAAGTAGACAACTTTTTTTATATAGGACTAAAGTTTCATCTCCCCAGCTTAGAAAACTTTTTAACTGACAGAACTTTAGTGTCAAACCTGTGTAGGAATTAGTTGAAAAGCACTCTCTCCCAGACCTACTCATTCCTACTAGGGCAGGTGGCATCTAATGACTAGCCGGTACTAAGCTCTTAGACAACTAGTTCAGTTTTAAAATTTTTACTCATCCTTGCTGCTGGTGGAGTTGTTTCATGCTTCCCTCATTACCATATGCAAAATATAAGATTGATGTCAAAAATCTCAAATCAGTCAACTCCGTGCTGTGCCCTGGCAGACCTCAACATCTGATTTTTAATAGAAGACATCTCCTTGGACAGCTACAGGAGAGCAGCAACCCAGGACCTGCGCAGCGGCCACATGAGGGCACTGTGGGTCCACTGAGCAACCTGCTGATCTCTGGTATGGGGAGGGCTTAAGGGACACTGTCTTGGTTTGGATCCTGTACCAGAGCCATTACCTGATGAGTCAGAGGCAGTGGTGGCAATGTGGGGGCAGCTATTGTCTTCTCATGTCATCTGATAAACCATGTATTGGTTAGGAGGGGAGCCGTGAACTGCAGCCTGCATGGGCAGAGTCCTCTCTGTAGCCTACATTTGATGATAATAGGGAAGGGGCTTCGGTTGGGCGGCCTGGATAACCCAAGCAAGGGAAGCCAAAGGGGCACCCGCTGCAGAGGAAACCTAGGGAGGCTGCGGGAGACAGTGTCTGCCCAAAACCTGCCCTGCCTAGCTCAGCACAGCCAGGTCCCCTGCCTATAGGAGGCGGGACAGAGTGAGAGAAGGCCTGACTCACTGAGCCTGTCTAGGGCTGCAGATGTCTACAGGAGCCTACAGGGACAATCACAACTATGACATCACGGGCCAACCCTCCAGAAGAAAAGGAAGCATTAAACTCCTTCTCTGTTACCCCAAGAGCCCAGCATCCTGAGGAGGGACATGCCAGCCCCTTTCCTACCAGACTCTGCCTGGGGTGCCAGGATCCTCTGCTGTGCTGCCCTTTGTCTCTTGGGTGCAGGTGAGTTCTGAGCAAGGGTAAGAAGTGTCCCCTGAATCCATAGGCTTGATGCTGCTGAATATCACTCTCCTCTGGGTGGGAGTTTAGCTTTTGTCTGTTTTCCCCACAGGTTCAATTGATGTTGGAGTCACACAGTCCCCAAGATACCTAATCACAAGAAAATGGGGACAGGCCACTCTCAAATGCTATCCTGTCCCGGGACACAGGTATGTGTACTAGTACCAGCAGGCTCCAGACCAGGGCCCTCAGTTCCTCATTTCATACTTTGAGGGGAGACAGTATGCAAAGGGCATCATCCCCAGTCGATTCTCGGCTGAGCAGTTCAGTGACAACCACTCTGAAATGAACATGAGCTCCTTGGAGCTGGATGACTCCACCTCGTACCTCTGTGCCAGCAGTGTAGACACAACCCTGAAGAGTCACTGGTTTTCTGTACCCAAACCTTCCTGTCCCAGCTGAGGATGTGATAGGGAGAGGGGTGGCGCTGCTTAGCAATCCTAGAATGTCAGTTCATTTCTAACACTCCTTATTTTGTTGCGCTCAACCAGAATACTCATGTTCAGCCTGGCCCCAGGTCTGCTGGGCATCTTTACATGTCTGCGTAGTGAATGGCAGGAGCTCCTCCTCTGTTGCTAGAGTGTGGGTCTACACTATGTAATTTGCAAGGATAGATTTAATTTCAAAGTTTTCTGTTTTACAGATTAGATATAGCTCCTGAGACCAGCAGATAGTGTAGTGGTTACATCTCTGGACTCCCACATGGTTGACAGCAGTTCAGGTCCTGGATCTGGTGGCTTGAAAGCCATGCTGAGCATAGTGTGAGTATGCTCAAGATCTTTGAAGGAGAATGTAGGAGAAGGGATTGTGGTGTGGCCATCACAACTGGGGGGGTGATTTTGATTTCTCACTTTTCCTCTCATGGTTTCTGCCTATTTCTCTCTCTGGCGAGTGCACAGAGCCTAAGACAAAAACCACACACACACACACACACACACACACAAAGGAAAAGAAAAGAAAAATAGATCATGAACTTTTCCAATATTTCATGTTTAACAGCATAAGAACCATTGTCTAAATCTACATATCTAGCCTCTAGAATAAAAGTCTTTTACCACTTTAATTCTTTCCCTTTCTCTTTGTCATGAAAATGCAACAAAGTACTGTGTCTTCTGTTTAAGACCACCTTGGTAGCAGGGGGATTTGCACATTATGGTGTCTGGTCACTATGGCTTATTGTCTGACAAGTATCAGGACACATAAGTTGATGCCAGAGAATGGTTGTCCTGAGTCAGTTCCATATAAATGAGGGCGCGGTGTTTCCATAATACAAAATCTAAGTTTATAGGGGAATTCCCAGCCTATCAGAGGAATTAGAAAGTGAAATAGAAACCCTTTGGGTATCAGAGCAAAATTTAATGCAGGGATTAGTGCTTATTAAACATTGTTAGGTTTAAGGGAGTAAGGTTTCAGCAAAGCTGAAACTTGCTCTGAAGTCCACCATTAGAGATAAAAAATCTGACGTTGCTAATTTTGCAAAAACTGCTAAGAGTCAAGTACCCTGGGGGTGTAGCAGAGTAGCCACCAAGAGAGTGATTCACATGAAAAAGTGGACAGGGCACTGCGGACTCACCTCTCGGTTGCTGTCAGGTAAAATAATAATAACAATAATAATAATTCTGTTTCTATCTTTTCTGCTACTATAGGCTATGGGGGGGGGCTGTTTTTAGAAACTTGCTATATGGAGAACCTGAGAAACGTAGTTTCAAGGCTTCTAGCCCCTGCTATAAGACAGAGTATATTGGAGGACATTCAGGGTAGTCACTGCCCATAGACAATCATTATACACTCAGCTACCCAGTACACAATGGAAAATAAAGTTAGAGAGTAAACTTAGAGAGTAAACCTCATTTTCCTATCATCTTAATAATGAAAATATATTACGATTTAGCTATAATAGTTTAGCCATTGCTCATTTGTTAATTTATGTAACAGATATTTCTGGAATACCAAGTGCTTTAATAATTTTGATGGGATATTATAAAGGAGATTGATTTATTAAAAAAGCGTACACCTTTTTTAAAAAATTTATTTTATCTTATATATTTAATCACTGTATATCACTTGACTTGTAAAGTGAGTTTACCCCATATGAATACACTCACTCCAGTCCAGTTGAATATTATACTTGTTAACATCAACAGATAATCTATTTCTGTGTCCCATAAATGTGTTGCCTCTCTATTATTCTCCTTAATTTCTTTAAAAAGTCATGTCTCTCCAGTCAAAGATTTGACCTGCTGGTTTGTCAAGAAGGAAAGGTTGAGAGTTAATAAGAAATTAAGTAAACTTGCTCAAGTTAATAAAAAGGGCCCAGGATAAGCCACCAAAATGAGCTTTTACAGCACAGGAAACAATCGTTCTGGACCCCACCTCTGGATCCACATCCAGCAGTTGCCTGCAGCTGATAAACTCCTTACTTTCCTGAGAAATGGATCTCCCATCCCAAACTGAACCTGAGCCTCCAGAACTTTCATTACCTCCCCCGACTATCAAAACTTTAAAAAGAAGACCTTCCCTTCTATGAGCATGAACCTGGGCAGATCTCACCCTGGGTACTCTTGTCTGACTCTAACAAACCTTACTTTGGCTCAAGAAAAACAAACTAGTCTTAAGTCTAGAGTTAGGTGGTGCCACGATGGTAATGCAACTCAACGCACATGACAAAGATCATGGATTCACATCGCAGAATCTCACTGATCATGCTAAGTGATCAGGTGTGTTGATGATCAAGGTCAGCTGAGACTGGGCGGATTAAGTCTGGAGAACCCACTGGGCGTGCCTGTCTATATGTCTGCCTGTCTCTCTCTAACATGTAGGAGACTTTCAAACACTCTAAACTCTGGTAACATGAGACGTCCTCAATTATTCTTATGTGAATTTGCAATATATGAAAACACCTTAAATCAATCAGTTTCTTGATAGAGAATGATGACATACTCAGAAGGGTTGAACAGAAAAGAGTTTAATCAAGGGATTTTATGTATAGGTGTGGGGAGGGTGAAGAGACCCGAACATGGTTGAAGGAGTAAGGTTAAGGGGACTGGGCACAGTGAGACATCCTTATTCTGAGCCTGAGGGAGAAGGAGTGTTGTGTTACTGGAGTTAATGGGAGATATGGAGAGAGACTGACCAAAGGGAGGAACTTGATCAATGCCAGAAGGGTGGGAGATACAACGAGGAGGCCCAATTGTTCTGGATTCTCTTCACTACCCCTTAATCTTCAGCAGAAGCTTCCCATTACAGACCCAACTGAAAGTCTGGATAATGGCTTTTGTGGACGTCAGGCTCCTTCCTGGAGCACACACAAGGCAGGGAGGCCAGAGAGTGGACTGGGTGCAGGGTGAGCACCCTAGAATAACCAGCACAGCGCTATCAGATTATGATGTGACCATATGTAGATGCTCATGCACATTTATTGATGAACACAGACTACTTTAATGCTACTCCTTTTGTGTGAACTTACAGAAGAATTTCCTGATGTACTGTTCATTTTATCTAGGCCATCTACTTAAGTACACTTTTTCAATTAATCTCTTCAAAACCCCATGAAAATAATGGTTTAACTACATACTGCAGATGAAAACACAAACTACTGAAAATTGAGATGATTTGCTAAAGCCCACATGTGCAACAAGTAGGGAATATAGACCCACATGTCTCCCTTTCAGAGACAATGGCTCTGATACCAATCACTTCCACAGCACCTTGCATCTGGAAGGCTTGTGCTGAAGGGAAAGGAGCTTCCTGTCCAGAGACCAGGAGACAGTCAGTTTATATTCTGACACTGTGGGTGTGGGACTTCTAAACCGTTTGCTGAGATTCTCATTTGTAAACTGAGAACAGTAATAGGTGTTTTGTAGGGAATTTATAAACATGAATGAAGCAATAAGTCTAATACACAGTAGAAGTTCCAGAAATCTTAGTTCTCCATTAACTCTCAGACATAAATTTTGTCTACTATGATTACTTACTCTGTGCAGTTCTAGGATCAAAGGACATCACAGATTACTTTTGTTTGATTCACCTGTGTTCCAAACACAGAATCGTCTGCAAACACGAGAGTCTCATAATTCGTTATGTGATAGTAACAAAAAGTCGCCTCTTAGGGATAGGAAAATGTTCCCATGGCAGCACTTCCTGTTTGAGACTAAATCTAATATATAAGAAAGGGCGGAACCCACAGAACGCTGAAATTTTAGAGCCATTGGCAATCACCCAGAAGAGCAGGGAGGAGATGACAGTGTGATTTGAAAAGAGATCATCAAAGCAGCATCTAGTGTCTCCTGTCGCCTCCCCGTGGCCCACATCTGATTTCAGCCTCAGCTGCCCTGCACCTGTGCACAGGGTCACACTCACCCCAAGCTGATCCTGCTGCCTCAAACACACAGGGGTCTTGACGCTTTTCCCCTGAGGACTTCTGTGATATCCTGTGTGCCCCTTGGCCTGAACAGAAAGACAGTCGCTGATAGCCCACGTTTTATATTTCTAAAACAGAGATGGGACACAGGAGGCTCCTCACTGGACCTGAAAAGGGCATCAGACTCCACTTCTGTGTGGTCATTTGTCTCCTATGGGCAGGTGAGTACTGGTTAGAGCGGACCTTCCTTCCCTGGAATTCTTAAGACCTCAGTACAAGCCTTTCTGTGGAGGAGACAACATCAGATGGTGTCACTCTCTATTCCAGGCCCCGTGGATGGTGGAATCACCCAGAGCCCAAGGCACAAGGTCACAGTGAAGGGAAAGAATGTGACTCTGAGGTGCCACCAGAATGACAATCATTACTATATGTACTGGTATCGACAGGACCTGGGATACGGGCTGAGGCTGATCCACTACTCATATGGAGTTAACAGCACCACCAAAGGAGACATCCCAGATGGGTACAGAGTCTCCAGATCAAACACAGAGGATTTCCCCCTCATCCTGGAGTTGCCCACCCCCTCGCAGACATCTGTGTACTTCTGTGCTAGCAGTAACTCCACAGCACTGCACGGCTGTCTCTTCCCTGCACACAAAGTGTCATAGGAAAGTCCCCAGTTTCTCTGTGCTCATGAGGCCCAGTCGCATCCAGGGAAGTCTGGTCCACATGGGAATCACTGAGCCATAGCTAAACTGGGTGTTTGAAGCATGGATGACATGACTGAGCACTGAGGTCCATTCCTGTGCCACTTACTCCTGAGTGGAGGTCACCCAGCACACTGAGCTTTCTCATCTCTCTTCTTCAATTCTCTCATATTGCAGAAAGGAAAAATGCATCCTTAGCTGAGATTTATGATGACTTGATAATAGTCAGTTAAAAAAGTAAGGAAAACGGTATTTTCTTTCATTTTCTATAAGGGGATACTGACAGACACTTTTCAAAAAAAGTTAGAATACTCTTAATAATCCTCACACTACACAGAAATAGGTGATTGTCTGTTGATGGTAACGTATATGGTATCTTCAGCTGGACTGGTGTGAAGTGTATTCATGTTGGGTAAGTTCACTTTTCAAGTCGTAGTGATGTATAGTGATTATATAAATTAAATAATAATAATAATAATGAATAAAATTAAATAAATATATTTTAAAAAAGAGTGCCAACACTATTAGTAGATCATACTTTATTTTAGAACAATCTTGAGGACTGTGGGATCCACATTCTTTGCCTTAAGCAGTCCAATTCCTGAACTGGAAAGCTCTCATTTCTGCCCTGTCCCAGGCCTAAGCAAATGGCTCCTTTTCATTGAGGCTGTTGGTCTCCTGGGTTCAGTGAGTTCTGGAAATAAGTGGGAAAGCCATCCTAGCCATCCTGGGCTTGTCAGGCCCCAGCCGTAGACCTTCCCATTAGGACCTCCATGAGACTCCTCTTTAAATGTCCTTTTGACCAGGGCATGGTTATACATTAAGATTAAGTAAAGGTGTTGGGGCCAGCAGGTGGCATGGTGGTTAGGCGTGCTGGACTTTCACATGGCTAACAGCTGTTCGTGTCCTAGACCTGGTGGCTTGCTTTTTTGCTTTCTCTTTCTCTCTCTGTGTGTCTTGTTCTGGTCAAATTGAAAATACCAATAATGATAAAAAAATAAAGAAAAAAATATTTTTAAAAAAAGATTAAATAAAGGTGTTTATTCCAGGCATCAGTGCTTCACACTGACATCTAACCAAATATCCTCAAAACCACCATTTTCTTCTCTCTCCTGTGTTCTCCAGTGACTTTGGCATCTTCTTCCCCCCATACTCTCCTATTCTTTAACTCAGACTCATAAACCTTCACTCATGTGGTCTCTGTTCTAGGCCGCCTTTTTCTACAGGGCAATAGCCCTGCAATGTCCTAGATCATGAACTCTCCATCTGTCCCTTCATCACATTGCAAGGTTTTCCAGGTTTACTCATGCACCGTTAGCTACTTCCTCACATGCGTGGACTGTTTCCCACACTCAAGATCCTTTTTATTTTATTTTTTACACAAGGTATTGTCTGCTATTTGTCTTCCCTGAGTATATTCCCTTACTTATTTCTGGATCTCCACTTCATTCCTTATGTGAAAATATTTTTAAAGCATAGTTAATCTTAATTGTGAAAATAAATCCTTAAATTTTACTAGAAGAAAGAAGAAAATCATTTTTAGCATTTGGAAGAGAATTCATTTTAGTGGAGACACAAAATAATACAAGCTATGAGGAATAATATATACGATTGTGCATGCATTAAATTAAAATGTTGGACATCAAAACATACCATAAGAAAAGGAAATGCTAAGTCATGACTGAGAAAAGGCAGGAAGATGCATATGATGAAGAAGAATGAGTGTGACACGGACCATCCAGGCTCACAGACAACCATGGTCCTCCGTGGCTCCCAGTCTCATGTTTGAGTAGAGGGTGAGAACATACGACAAGGTTCTCAATAATAGGATGTGGTAAAATGATGGAAGTTGATTCTAAGTTTGGCCCTTGGAAATATCCTGGGGGAGCTAGGCCATGACTCATTGGAAATGCAACTGGATCCACTAGGTCCTGGGTTCACGTCCTGGGAAATCCCAGAACACTGAGTGTGCACACATGCACCCATGATCTTGGTTGGCTGACCCTAGAGGTGGATGACAGCATGAGGGTCTGTTAGAGGAGCCTATCTTTATGTCTATCTCTATTTTCTGGATCTGTCTCTTATGGAAGATATTAATAAGTACATTGAAATAATAGCCTGCTGCAGTGTGATGGGGTCCCCAAGTATATTTGTGATTTTAAACATTAGCTGGAAGGATTCAAGGAATATGACAAATAGCTCTACTCAAGGCTAAGATTTATTGACCTGACATACTAAGTATTGACCTAAGATTATTGACCTGACATACTAAGTATCAGAGGGGATAAGGTTAGGTGAATCCAGAGTAATCCACGTGTATGTTCTCTTCTTCCCAGGAGGGGTCACACACAGCATATTCTACACCAAAAAGCAAGACTTCAGCAACATGACTACAATGTGTCTATCAATGGGGTCCATTAAAGATTCCGAGCTCAGGGCTAGCCAATGACATGGTGGTGAAGTCAGCTGAACCCCACATAACTGACCACATGAGTCTTGGACTTAGTGGCATGGAAAAAAATGCTGGGCACATGTGTGTGCATATGTACAAAGCGTTAGAAATGGAGGAGAAAGGGTTGTAGTGTGGTCATTCTCCTTGGGGGAGGGTAGGTCCTTTCTCACTTTCCCTCTCTCTTCTCTCTTTTTTTCCTGTACATTTCTATCTGCCCAGTGCATGCACCCTCTGGTATATTGAAAAAAAAATCCAGAGCTCAAGAGTTTGTACTGGGCCCTGTTCCTGCAGGCACATTGGCAGGCACCAAATTCCAGACTCTAGAAAGAAATCTGGCATTCAGCTTCTAGTCGTTTGCACTAACAGTCTAGACCACGTGAGCAACCTCCTCAGTTAGCAAACAGTATCTGTAGGGAACTGGTTACCATCTTCATTCCCAGATGCCAGCAAAGGCCAGTCTGGTAAGGAGAATGTTCTGGGCAAAGGCAGTCATTATAGATGGTTTATTTGTGCCATGGATGTAGCTAAGTTCTCTGGGTCTTAAAGTGGTGGAAAGCACTGAAGAAGGCTGCTCAATGTCACGTTGGGCTTGTGGCAGTGGGAGGTAAGACTTAGAGTTGAGTCGCTGAGATTTTAGAATTCGCTTCATGCTGTTTTCCATATCACAGCTATACTGTCTAAAAGAGTTAGTTTCCCAAATGAGTAAAGAACTTTTGTTACACAATATGAAAAGAATAATCCAATAAATTGACAAAACCAAGACTGACTAGGCAACTTACAGATCACCACCAGGGGATGGCCACACCACAATCCTTTCTCCTCCATTCTCCTCTCAGGATCTTGAGTACGCACATACACACACCCAGAGTGAGTTTAAGCCACTGGGTCTGGGACTAGAACTGCGGTCGACTACGTGGGAGTCCAGTGACATAGCCATTACACCAACTGCTGGTCCCTATGATGATTGTTTCTTAAGATCGTGTGTCTGTGTAGAAACAGTGATATCATTATGGAAAGTGCCATGTGGGGAAAAGGACCTCCCTTGTCCTCTGCTCCTGCTCACAAGGATGCTAACCTACTGCCTTGTTCTGCATGGTTACCAGGCTCCTTTGCTGGATGATTCTCTGCCTCCTGGGGGCAGGTGAGTCCTCAGAACATAGAGCAGATTAGATGTGTGTGCATGGGGGGGGGGGGGAGGTAGGGGAAGGTATGTATGAAGTGTATGTGTGTTTCTGTGTCCATATGTGTGGTGACCACAGTATTTCTCTTCACTATATTCCCAACTTCTGTCTCCACAGGTCACACAGATGTTGGGGTGTCTCAGTCCCCTAGGTATAGAGTCACAGCGAGGGGACAGAATGTAACACTCAGGTGTGATCCAATTTCTGGGTACAACTGCCTTTACTGGTACCAACAGACCTTGGGAAAAGGCCCAGAATTTTCCCCTTATTTCCAGAATGAATTTGTACCAGACAACTCTGGGCTGCTCAGTGATTGCTTCTCTGCTGAGAGGCCTGAGGCCTCTCTCTGCACCAAGAGCTTAGCCACAGTGGGGCACCATCTCCTCCTTCCTGCTCACAGAGCTCCTGTGCTCAGCTGTCCCTACAGTTCTCAGAAGCTCTCACCAAGGAGTTGCCCTAATCTTCCCACATCAAAGGGCAGAAATGCATTAGGGACTGCAGGTGCCCCTCTGACAGGAGGTCAGGAAATAGCCTTTGAAATATCAGAGCAGGTATCATTGGATAGTAATAACTTTGACTTACGGATTTTTTGGATTGTAATATTCAGTTCAGGATTCTACATTTGGGACTAAACACCAGAACCCTCAGGAATAGTGATGAAGTAAACATTTTCATAGAAGACTAAAACTTTTTTTTTTTGGAGAGGTTTTTGCTATAGGGCACGCGCACTCACCAGACAGAGAGAGAGAGAGACAGAGAGACAGAAAGCGAGAAATCACCCCCAGGGGGTATGGCCACGCCGCAATCCCTTCTCCGTTCTCCTCTTGGGATCTTGGGCACGCACGCACACGCGTCCTGCATGAGTTTTAAGCCACCAGGTCCAGGACGCAAACTGTGGTCGACTACATGGGAGTCCAGCGACATAGCTATTACGCTAACTGCTGGTTCCCAGTGATTTTCAATCTTGTAATGGTGTCTTTTGATAAGCCACAAGCATTCTACTTTTTCTCTTTTTGCTGGGATTTTTTTTTTCTCTCATTGGCCAATTTGGTAAATTTTTGTCTGCTTCAGAATGATCACGTTTCCTTGTTTCTTTGTAAAATGCTATATTTTCAATTCATCACATTCAGATTTGTAATGCAGCTGGAACGAGTTCTTTGCATGTGATATGATGATAGATCAAGTTATATTTTTCCATGTGGTTATTCAGTAGAGATGATGCTGTTTATTAAAGGATAATATTTTCCTCACCACTTACGGTTTCACTTTGTCATAAATCAGTCATTGCATATGTGAGAGTCAGTTTTCTTGACTCTCTATCCTGTTACATTGATCTTCCTGTCAATTCTTTCACTAATAGTTCACTGCCTTTTTACTATGGCTTTATAATAATTCTTACTATCTGGTAGTCTGATTCTTCAAGGTTTGTTCCTTTTTATTTGAGAGATTTTTGCTCTAGGGCATGTACACTACATGAGACACACAGAGAAGTGAGAAATCATCCTCTATGGAGGATGGCCATGCCTCAATCCCTCTCCTCTATCTCCTCCTGGAATTTTTGAACACATGCTCATGAACCCAGCATGAGTTTCACGTCTCCAGGTCTGGGACTTGAATGATGGTTGGCCATGTGGGAGCCCAGCACCTTAACCACTATGCCACCTGCTGGCCCCCAGTTTGTTCCTTTTTCTCAAGACTTCTTGACCACTCTTGACACTTTATTTTACATATTCATGAAAGATCTTTAAACTTTCATGGAAACAGTGTGTAATGAAAAAGATCCATGCATGGACTTAAAATATTTTTTGCACCAAAACAAACATACGCATTAATTTCAGTTTTTCATAAACCTTTGGAAGTCTCATATATTTTATAGTCAGTTTGTCAAATTTTTCAAGAAAAATGTCTCCTAGGAATTGTGTTTTCTATTTCCAGCTAATGTGAGTGCATCACATAACAAAACAAAGAATATTGATAGAAATATTGTATCTCCATTTAACATTTACTGACTATCTGCACTCTATGGTAGACTGAAAGGCTGGAAAACATAAAAGTATTAAAAATTGTAATGGGCACTAGAGACAAAGTGGAAAGAGAGTGTGGGAGGGGAAGAGCATAGGAAATTTGGGGGGGAAATGAAGACCTTGTACGACACAGATAAGGTTTTTATCTGTTGCCGAGGATGCGTGTAATAGTTTCGACTGGGCTGGACTGAGGTGTAAATCAGGCTGGGTAAAGTCTCTTCACAAGCTAAATGATGTATAGCGACTTAATGTATAAATAATAAAAAATAAATTACATGGCAAGAGTTTGAAAAAAAAAGAGAAATATTATAATATCTACTACCAAAAAAATATAAAATACAGACTACCTGACCTCTAATCAAGGCTATCTGACCTTCTCTATGCAAAGAAGTGGGAGAAATATAACCTCTAGTAGGAAAACATTAAAAAACTAAATCCAACCCTCAAATGGCAAATTGATAGACAAATATTAATACAGTCATTATAACGGATAGTTGTAGCCCATATTTCAAATTTGTGTAGATATGGGAATATATAAAAGGATACAAGTAAAAGGAGATTAAATTTCTTAATTTTGGTAATTTTATGAAATAAAAAATAAAAATTACAATGTTAGTGCTGATAAATACACCTGATGGAATTAATAGCTGATTAGACATTACCAAAAAAAGATTACTACATTTGAATATGTAGAAATAATCCAAAATCTACTCTTCTTACATTTTAAAATACACAACATATAATTACTGATTACAGTCACCGTGCTGGGCAGCAGTTCTCAAAAACAGTCCTCCTGTCGACCTAAAACTTTCTACCCCTTGCCAGGAATCTCCTTATTCCCCACTAGACTCCATCCCACATGAGGTAACCGCCATTTTGCTCTGTCCCTCTGTGAGTTTGACTTGTTTAAGCTCCACATATAAGGGAGATCATGCAGTATTTGATTTTTTGTGTGTGTGTGCCTCACTTTTTTCCCTTGGTTAAGAAATTCAAGATTTGTTCATGCTGTTGCAAATGATAGAATTTTGTTTTTTCTAAAGGTTGAATTATATCCCACTGTGTACATACTTTGTTTATTGACCCATTGACAAATGCTTCATTTGATTTCACACATAGGCTATTGTAAACAAAGTTGAAGTGAACACAGGAGCACAGACATGTCTTCGAAATAGTCCCTGTGGTAACAAGCCACGCAGTGGGACTGCTGGAGCAGAGGGTCACTGTATTTTAGTTTTTTGAGGAATCTCTTTCTGCTCTCCACAAAGCCTGTGTAATTGACATGACCACCATCGGTGCCAGCATGCCCTTTGTCTGCACCTGAGCCAGTACTTGCTATCCTTCATTATCTTTGTTAGAAACCATTCCACCAGATATCCGGTGATATCTCATTTGGATTTTATTATCAGTTTCCTGGTGGTATTTCTGGGCGTATTGTATATATACCTGTTGGCTATGCATATGACTTTTTTTGAGAACTGTCTATTTAGGTGCTTCAGCATTAATTAAATGAAGTCTTTTTCTATGCAAAATTTTTAAATACATGCAGTTTTTTTTGGTAATATTCATTTCCATGAAATGTATGTTACTTTCCTATAAGTAGACAACTTCCTTTTCATAAGACTAAAGTTTTATTTCCCCAGCATAGAAAATTTTTGCACTGACAGAACATTACTGTCAACCTTTAGTAGGAGTTACCTTTGATTGCAAAGCACTATCTCCCAGATCTACTGAGTCCTAGGGCAGGTGACATCTCATGACTAGCTGGTACCACTCTCTTATACAACTAATTGAGATTTAGAATTTTGATTCATCCTTGTGTGAGGGGGAGTTGTTTTATGCCTCCCTCATTACCATATGCAAAATAGAGATTCAGGCTGAAACCTCAAATCAGCTGGCTCTGTGCTGTGCCCTGGCAGATCCCCATATCTGATGTATTAATAGAAGAGATCTCCTTGGACAGCTTCAATAGAGTGGCAACCCAGGATCTGCGCAGCTGGCCACATGAGGGCACTGTGGGTCCACTGAGCAACCTGCTGATGGATCTCTCTGGGACAGGGAGGGCTTAAGGGACTCAGTTTTGGCTTGGCTCCTGTACCAGGGACATCATCTGATGAGGCAGAGGCAGTGGTGGCACAGGAGGGGGTAATCATGGTCTTCTCATGTCACCTGATAAGCCCATGTGTTGGTCAGGCAGAGAACCGTGAACTGCCGCCTGAATGGGCAGAGGCCTCTTAGGAGCCCACGTTTGATGGAGAATGGGAAAGGCTTCCATGGAGCGGCCTGGACAACCTAAGTTAGGGGTATACAAAGGGACACAGGCCTCAGAGGAAACTTAGGGAAGCTGTGGGGGACTATGTCTGCCCCAAACCTGCCCTGCCTAGCTCAGTACGGCCGACTTCCCAGCCTTGAGGAGGAGGGACAGAGAGAGGGAAGGCCTGGCTCAATGAGCCTGTCCAGGGCTGCAGGTGCCTATAGGAGCCTACTGGGACAGTTACATCACACAGTGACATCACAGGCCAAACCTCCAGAGAAAAGACACTATATGCCTGCTTCGCCCCCACCAGGAGCCCAGCACCTGAGTAAGGACATGCCTGCTCCTGTCCTACCAGACTCCGCCTGGGGCACCAGGATCCTCTGCTGTGCTGCCCTTTGTCTCCTGGGTGCAGGTGAGTCCTGAGCACAGAGAGGTTCTTTGATTGCTCGTGAAAATCATTCTCCTCTGGGCTGGGGGTTCAGCTGTTTCTGTTCTGTCTGTTTCCCCCACAGGTTCAGTGGATGTTGGAGTCACCCAGACCCCAAGATACCTAATCACAGAAAAGAGGGGCCAGGCCTCTCTCAAATGCTATCCTATACCAGGACACAACTATGTATACTGGTACCAGTTGGCTCGAGACCAGGGTCCCCAGTTCCTCATTTCGTTTTACGAAAAAATGCTAAGAGAAAAAGGCATCATCCCTGATCGATTCTCGGTTGAACAGTTTGGTGATTACCACTCTGAAATGAACATGAGCTCCTTGGAGCTGGGAGACTCCGCCTCGTACCTCTGTGCCAGCAGTGTAGACACAGCCCTGCAGAGCCACTGGTTTTCTGTACCCAAACCTTCCTGTCCCAGCTGAGGATGTGATAGGGAGAGGGGTGGCGCTGCTACACAGCCTTAGCAAGCCTGGGATGCCAGTTCATTTCTATCATTCCTTATTCTGTTGAGCTCAACCAGAATACTCGTGATCATTCTGGCTCCAGGTCTGCTGGGCATCTTTACATGTCTGCCTGTGAATGGCAGGAGCTCCTCCTCTGTGCTAGAGTGTGGGTCTACACTATGTAATTTGCAAGGATAGATATAATTTATTCATTTTATAAAATGAGGAAGATCTCAGTGTTCTATTTTATAGATTAGAAAAACAGCTCATGGACTTTTCCAATATTTCATATTTAATGGCATTAGAAACATCAGTTAAACCTTTATCTCTGACCTCTAAAATAAGTCTCCTACAATTTCAATGTGTTTCCTTCGTCTTTGTCACAAGACCAGCAGGATAACCGTGGAGGTCGCACATCATGGTATCTGGTCTCTATGACTTATTGTCTGCCAAGAACCAGGACATATAAGTTGACGTCAGAGAATGGTTGTCCTGTCTCAGTTCCACATAAATGAATCCATGGTATTTCCATAATACAAAATCTAAGTGAATAGGGAGATTCTCGATACAGCAGAGGACTAAGAAAATGAAATAAAAACCATTTGGTTATCAGAGTAAGATTTAATGCAGGGAATAAGTGCTTATTAAACTTTGGAAGGTCTGGAGGAGGAAGGTTCCTCAGAAAGCTGAAACTTGCTCTTAGACTTAAGAATAAGAATAAAATCTAAAGTTGCTCATTTTGCCCAGGTCAGGAGCTGCAAAAACTGCTGAGAGTCATAGTACTTCGGGGCACAGCAGAGTGGTAACCAAGAGGGTGATTCACAAGAAAGTTGACAGGGCATTGCAGATTCACCTCTTTGTTGCTTTCAGATTAAAAAAAAAAATGCCTTCTGTTTCTGTCTTTCGCACTAGTATAGGCTATTGGAGGAAAAAAAGCTGTTTTTAGAAACATGCTATCTGGAGAATCTGAGAAATGTAGTTTCAAGACTTCCAGTCTCTGCTTTAAGATAGAGTATATTGGAGGACATTCAGGGTAGCCACTGTCTATAGATAGTCATTAGTACACTCAGCTACACAACACAAAATGGAAAATAGGGTAAACTTGAATTTTTTCTTTAATCTTGAACATGAAAATATATTGTGATTTTGCTATAGTTCTTTAATCATTGTTCATTGGTTAATTTATCCAACAGGTATTTTTGTAATATCAAGTGCATTAATAATTTTCATAGAATATGATAAAAGAGATTGATTTTTCAAAAGTGCATACCTTGTCTGTAAGGAGTCATGGAGCCCAGTCAAAGATTTGACCTTGCTAATTTGTCAAGAGAGAAATGTTCAGAGTTATTAAATAAGTAAACTTTTGAGGAATCTCCATATTGTTCTCCACAGTGGCATATTAATTTACATTAGTTATAGTCTAGGATAGTTTCTTTTTCACCACAGTCTTGCTAGCATTTATCATTCTTTCGTTTTTTCAATCTTAGCCATTCTGACCGGGATTAGGTGGTATCTCATTGTGGTTTAGATTTGCATCTCCTTTATGACAAAGAATGTTGAGCATCTTTTCATATGCTTTTGGCTGTTCATATGTCTTCCTTAGAGAGTAGTCTTTTCAGCTCATTGCCCATCTTTTAATTGGGTTGATCATTTTTATTTGAGTAAGCTGCTTGAGTTCCCTGTATATTCTGCTTGTCAGTCCCTTATCTGAGGCAGTTTGCAAATACATTCTCCCATTCTAAGAGTTGTCTATTCACTCTTATTGTGTGGGAGGAAGATGAGAAATGGGACAGGGTGAGAAAGAGGGAATCAAGGGGAAAAGAAAGAAGCCAAACATTTAAGGAGCACAAAAATGAAAAATTGTCCATTAATGATAATATGTATGGTAATATTTTTGACTAAACCAAACCATTTAATTGATGCAAAAATGGAAAAATAGATTAAGAAATAGGTAAGTTTTTGTTGAACAGATTTTAGCTCCTCTTACTACACAAATGAAAAAATGTATGCTAATCTGTCTGTGGCTATATTTATCTCTGTATCTCATAACATTTTGTAAACCTCAAATATACCCAATAAAATATATTTTTAAAAAGTAAAAAAAAATTTTTTTTGACTAAACCAGTATACAGTGTATTCAGAATGGGAAAATTCATTTAGTATATTGTAACGATACATGGTTATTGGATGTAAATAAATAAATAAGAAAATAAGTAAACCTGCTCAAAATAATAAAAAGGGTGCAGGATAAACCCCCAAGATGAGCTTTTACAACATAGGTAACAGATCTTCTGGGCTCTGGCTCCACCTCTGGCAATTGTCTGCAGCTGATAAACTCCTTACTTTCCTGAGAAATGACCACCACTCCCTCCCAATCTGGACCCAAGATTGCATAATTTCCATTACCTTCGCCTACAATCAAAACTTTAAAAGGAGACTTCCCTGACATGAGGGATGAACCAGCTCAGATCTCACCTGGGTACTCTTGCCCACTCTAGTAAACCTAACATCTGATCACAAAACATAAGTAAGTCTTAAGTCTAGGATAGGTGGTGGCACAGTGGTAATGCAACTCAACCCATGTGACAAAGGTCCTGGATTCACATCTCAGAACCTCACTGAACATGCTGGGTGATCATGTGTGTTGATCAAGGTCAGCTGACACCGGTGGATTGAGTCCAGAAACCTCATTGGGCATGCCTGTCTCTATGTCTTCCTGTCTCTCTCTTACATGTAAGAGATTTTTAAAAACTCTAAATTCTGGTAATATGAAATGTCCTCCATTATTCTGACTTGAATTTGCAATGTATGACAACCACTTAAATCAATTATTTTGATAGATAATGATGACATACAAGGGTTGAGCAGAAAATAATTTCATCAAGGTACTGTGTGTACTGGCTTGGACAGGGTGAAAAATCTCAAGACATGATTGAAGGACTAGGGTTGAAGGGACCAGGCACAGTGGGAGGTCAGTGCAACTCCTAAGCTTAAGGGAGAAGGGGGAGGTGCTGTATTACCGTAATTCATGAGAGGTATGGGGAGAGATTGACCAAAGGGAGATAGATAATCAAAACAGAAGGGTGGGAAATAAAAAGGGGAGGCCCAAATGCTCTGGACTCTCTTCACTATCCCTCAATCTTCAGCTGGTGCTTTCCATCACAAACCCACCTGGAAGCCTGAATAATGACCTTGTGGACATCAGACTCCTGGAGCAGAGCACAAGGCAGGGAGGCCAGAGAGTAGATTGGGTGGAGGGTGGGACACACTAGAATAACCAGCAGAAAGCTATCAGATTATGATGTGACCTTGTGTATGTTTACTAGTGAAAACACGGTACTGTAATTCTACTCTCTTTATAAACAAAACAATTCCTGATTTATTGCTATTTTCTCTGGACCATATACTTCAGCATATTATTTCAACTAATTGACTCAAAAATCTCTACAATAGAATGATTTATCTACATTCTTCTGCAAGTGAAAAATGCAGATTGTTAGAAAGTTTAAATGGCTCTCAACTAAAGGAGGAAGGACTAATGAATACAGAGCTGGGACTCAAACACAACCTACACTGACATCAAACCCATGCTCTAATTCAAACCACCCTAGGCATTCTGATAAATTGAGACATCCTATTCCCCAGAACTGGAACATTCACCGAAATGTTTCCCTTTCAGGAAGAATGGCTTTGGCACAAATCATTTCCACAACACGTTTTACCTAGGAGGCTAAGTACAAATAGTTCCACTAGAAGACATTGCTTCACATTTTGATTCTGTGAGCTTGTGACTCAAAAACTATTTGGTTGGGTTTTCTCATTTGTGAACTGAGGCTAATGTATGTCTGAAAGATATTTTATAGCGGTAAATAGAGTCTAACATAAAGTATAGGTTCAAGAAATTGTGGTTCCTTATTAACTCTCAGACAAACCTCTAGTCTGGCAAGATTTATATACTCTGTGCAGTTCTGGGATCAAGGGCTGACATAGATTACTTTTGTCTGAATCACCTGTGTTCTAGACACAGAATCATCAGAAATGCAAATACAGGAGTCTCATGTTCATTATGTGAAATTGACATAAAGAGCTGTCTATTAAGGAAATGCACAAATATTTCCCATTGCAGCACTTTCTGTTTAATAATTAGTCTGATACAAAAGGACAGGTGGAATCCCATAATGTTATGGCTTCAGAGCAACTGAAGATCACACAAAAGAGCTGAAAGGGGACAGTTTAATTTGAAGAGAAACCATTGTAAGGAACATCTAGTGTCTTCTATTGTATCCCATTGGCCCATGTCTGATTTCTTCCTCGGCTGCAGTGAAGTTATATATAAGGTAACATCCACCTCTTGCTCCTGCCTCTTCCTCATGCAGGGGTCTCTGTGCTTTCCTCCCTTGAGCCTTCTCTGATAACCGTATGAGCACACTTATCCTGCACACAAAGAGATCCGAAGTTCTATTTTTCCAAAACAGGACTGGGAGGCACTCAACTCTGTCCTAGACTTGAAATGGGCACCAAGCTCTTCTCTGTGGACCGTTGTCTCCTGTGGGCAGGTGAGTACTAGTTACAGGAAACCTTGCTGCCTGGGAATTCTGAATTTCTTAATACAGGCCTTTCCATTGAGTAGACATCATCATGGCCTGCCATCCTCCATTCCAGAATCCGCTGATGTTGGAATCACCCAGAGCCCACGGCATTAAGTCACAGTGATGAGAAAGAATGTGATTCTTAGATGCCACCAGAATGACAATCTTAGCTCTGTGTACTCATATCTACAAGACCTAAGTCATGGGCAGAGGGTGTTAATTTCTCATGTGGTGTTAACAGCACTGAAAAGGGAAAAGTTCCCCAAAAGTGCAGCATTCCTAGATCAAAATGGGAGATTTTCCTCTCACTCTGGAGTTGGCCAACGCCTCCCAGACATCTGCGTACATTTGTGCCAGCAGTGTCTACACAGTGCTACATGGCCATCTCTCATCTTCACATAAAGTGTAATTGGAAAGTCCATGGTTGCTCTGTGCTCATGAGACCTGACCCCATCCTAGCAAGTCTGGCCTCCATGGGATTCACAGAGCCCTTGCTAGACTGGAGACCTTGGAGCATGGACAATATGACTCAGTTCTTAGATCCATGCCTATGCCACTCTTAGTCTGAATAGAGGTCACCCAGCATATTTAACTTCCTCTTCTCCCTTCTGAAACTCTCGCAACTTGCAGAGAGGAAAATGCCTTTTCATGATGACTCAATAATCATTAAATAAAAAGTAAATGAAAGAGATACATTTTTTTTTTCCTTTTTCACAAGGGGATATCTGGCAGATGCTGTCTTCCAAAACAGGTTAGACTACTGTTGAGAATGCTAACACTGTTGGGGGATCATATATTATTGAGAACTATGCTCCGGGTTGTGGAATCTAAAGGCTCTTTCCCAAAGAAACTGTGTCCTAAGTTGAAAAGCTTTCCAACTGCCCTGACCGAACCATGAACAATCACCTCTTGTTTGGTGTGGATCTTGGTCACCTGGAATAAGGTGAAGTTTGGGCACAGGTGGGAAAGCCCTTCCTGGGCTTGCCAGGCCCTGGTCATAGACCTTTCCACGTGGCAGTACATAGACCTCTTCCTTGTCTCTCCTTCTGATTCTGTGTCTTTTCCACTGGAGCATGATTTATCCCTCAAGATTGCATGAAGGGTGAAGAGTGCACTTCAGGCTTGAGGGCCTCCTACTGGGTCTGACCTGGTAACATTGAAACCACCATATTCTTCTCTATGTTTTCCAGTGGCTTTATTATCTACCTTTTCTCATGATCTCTCCTACCCTTCAACCTATGCTCATAAACCACTCATGTGGTCTTTGTTCCAGACTGTCTTATTCCATGGGACAATAGCCCTGCTAGTCCTGGATCACGTACCCTCCATCTGTCCCTTTATCAAATTGCAAGTTCTCCCTGGTTTTTCTGTACCATCCACACTCCTGTACTTTCAGCTATTTTCTCACATGTGCTGGGCTGTTTTTTACCCTTACGATCTTTTTTACCAGCTATTTATCTTCATTGAACGTACATCCCTGCCTTATTCCTAGGTCTCCACTTTATTCCTTACATGAAAACATATTTTAGGTATATTTACTGTCATTTTGAAAGATAACACTTAAATTTCATTAAAATAAATGAAGGGGGAAAATGATACCATTTATTTGAGAGGGCATTTCCACCCTCCCCCTCCCCAGTGGAGACACAAAAAAAACCCCACAAGCTGTAAAGAATAATATATTTACTTTTAGTTGCATTAAATTAAGTCATCAAAACACCCCATAAAAGAGGAAATGCTAAGCCACAGACTGAGAAAAGGCATGAAAATGCAAACAGATGGGGAAGAATGAGCGTGACAGAGACCACTGAGGCTGAGTGACACCCATGGTCTTCTGTGGCTCCCAGTCTCACAGGTAGAGGATTGGGAACACAGGACAAGAATCTCAATAATGGAATGTGATAAAATGATGGAAACCAGTTCCAAGCTTGGCCCTTAAAAATATCCTGGGGATGACAGGTAGTGGGTGGCTCATAGTAAATTCAATTGGGTGCACAAGAGAAAAGTCCTGGGTTTGCATCCTGGAAACTCCCTGAACATTCAAGCTGAGTGTGCACATATGTGCCCATAATCTAGACTGGCTGAACCTGTGGGTGGACAGCAGCACGAGTACTCTGGTGGGGGAGTCTATCTCTGTTTCTCTGTGTCTGTCTGTCATAGAAGATATTACATACACTAAAACTAAATATCCTATGATACTGTGAGTTGAATGTGAGGGCACTCGTTTGAACCTACACACAGGCTATGAATATGTGGAATCAACTTCTAGGCGTGGCTGAGTTTATAATAACTGACTTCTAAGACTGTGGGTCTTTACAGAGACACTGATGTCACGTGGGAACTGCCATGTGGGGACAAGGGAAATTCCTCCAATTCAGTTTCTGATCTGCTGCCCAACCCTGTTATGGGCACCAGGCTCCTCTGCTGCGTGGCCCTGTGCCTCCTGGGAGAAGGTAAGTCCTTAGAATACTGAGTGGTTTTGTGTGTTTGTGAGTGTGTATGTGTGGTATGTACACAGTGTGTCTTTCTGTGTATGTGTGTGCTAACCACAATTAATTTTTCCAAGTTCTTTCCTCAACTTCTGTCTTCACAGGTTACACAGATGCTGGAGTGTCCCAATCCCCTAAGCATAGAGTCACAGTGAGGGGACAGAATGTAACGCTCAAGTGTGATCCAATTTCTGGACATGATTTTCTTTATTGGTACCGTCAGACCCTGGGGCAGAGTCTGGAGTTTTTGGCTTATTTCCAGAACAAATATTTGTCTGACAAATCAGGGCTGCCCAGTGATCGCTTCACTCCAGAGAGGCCTGAGGGCTCGTTCTCCATGCTGAGGATCCAGCCTGCAGAGCCAGGGGACTCAGCCCTGTATCTCTGTGCCAGCAGCTTAGCCACAGTGGGGCACCATCCCCTCCTTCCTGCTCACAAAGCTCCTGTGTTCAGCTCTCCCCACAGTTCTCAGAAGCTCTGGCCAGGGAGCTGCCCTGGTCTTCCCTCATCGAAGGTCAGAATACATTAGGGATTGCTGGTGCCCCTCTGATCGGAGGTCAGGAAATAACCTTTGTAATTCTGGAAGGGGCGACACTGGGTAGTAATAACTTTGGCTTATGGATTTCTGGGATTGCTCATATACAATTCATGACTCTATAACTGTGACTTAACATCAGCACTTAGTCTCAAGGATAGTGATCAAATAAATATTCTCTCATGGAAGTAGATAGTTTCAGCATATTCATAAAAAAAATTCTTATTACTGACTGCCACTAAGCCTGTTCTATACTAAGGAGTGGTCCAGCTAGAACGAAGCAGTGCTAAGGCTATTTGCATCTATCAGCTTTAAAAAAATTAGAGTGCTTATTAAGAATTGTCATCAAAGTCAAATTTTTTAAATTTAAATTGTTTTTGAGTATAACTTGCTGTTGATACCAGAATAATTGCAACATGGTATAGGAATTATAATATATGTAAAATTAAAATACTTAACAGCAAAAACATAAGGATGAGAAAAAGATGAATGAATAGATGTCATATCATTATAAGGTTTTCATACTCTTTGTAGTCCCTTGAAGGTAAACTGTGATAGTGTAGATCTGGATACTGAAAACTCTAGAGCAATAATTAAATAACAAAACAAAGAGATACAACTTACTAAGGAAGAAATATTTTTAAAAGAATTATTTATTTAATTTAATTTATCAGTATTATTTTTTTATTTTGCTGCAGGGCACCACACTCACTGTAAAGAGACAGAGAGAGAGAGAGAGAGAGTGAGAAAGCAAGCCGCCAGGTCTGGGACTTAAACCTTAGTCGACCATGTGGGAGTTCAGTGCCTTAACCACTATGCCACCTGCTGGCCTCATTAGGGATGGAATTAAAAAAATGCTAAATTAACCCACAAGAAGGCATGACATAAATTAAACAAACAAGAGAGTAACAGAAAGCCAATAGTAAGATGACAGACATAACCAGATTAACAGTCACATCAAAACTAAAGAGTGTCAGTTAAAAAATACTGAATAAAGCAAGCAAACAAACAAAAAACTGGCATACACTGCCAACTAGGAGTGTGCTGTAAGTATAAGGACTCATTATGTGAAAAGTAACAGGAGATTAAAGGAAGCACCATGCTAACACCAATCAAGAGAAAGCTAGAGGAGCTAAAGAAACATCCAAGTAAACATCAGAGCAGAGAACATCTTAGTAATAGAAGGGCAAGTCTATCAAGAGGGCATACCAATGATAAATATTCATGTATCTAAAAAATAAAGCTGCAGAACGCTGAAACAAAAACAGAGAGACCTGCAAGGAGAAATAGGCAAATCCACAATTACGGTCAGAGATTTCAATATCTCACATTTGGTAATCGGCTCCACGTGTTGACAAGGACAAGAAACCAGGAAGCATATAGAAGCCATAGGCAACAGCATCAGTCAACTCGTCCTTCATGGTATTAAATGAATTCTCCACCCAAAGACAACAGAATGCATGCTTCTGTTCAGTTCATACTGAGATGCGCTACCGTGGACTATACACTTCGGGCCATAAAGTCAGTATCTATGGATCTAAAAGGATTCAAATCAAACCAAGTGTGTTTTTCTGATCACAGTGAAACTAAATTTAAAAATAATAGTGAATGGTCTCTAGCACAATCCCAACTATTTTAACATTCAACAACAATTCTAAGTAAGTTGTGATGCAAAAAATAAATCAAAAGAAAAAAATTACAAAGTGTTTTAAACTGAATGAAACTGGAAATATACCAAAATTGGTAGGATGTCACAAAAGCAGGACATCAGGGGGAGACTGAGGAACAGGGCATAATTCTCTATTCACTCTGAGGCCAGCACGCCTCTGATATCAAAATCAGACAGAAATATTGCCAGGAAAAACCGTGCAGACAATACCCCTTATGAACACAAATCCCACTGATCCAGTCCAACAACATCTAATAAGTATAATAGATCATGCCCAGGTGGGATTATCTCTGCAATGCACAATTGGTTCAACATTCAAAATATAGCCTATGTAACTCACTCTATCTGTGTGTAAAAAAGAAAAACTATATGATTATATGAATATATGCCCCCAAAATGTGGTAAAATTCAATATCCATTCTTCATAAAATCCATCAGCAAATTCAGAGTAATTGAAAACTTCCTTCACCTAATAAGGTCGTTTATGAAAAACCTACGGTTATTAGGAGAATATTTTTGCAGATAAACTGTGATGAGTCAAAGATGCATATTGTAATCTCGCAATAGAACCACAAAAGGGAAAAAATAGGCTTTTTGACAAGTGTTTCTGGAAAACTGTATATTGATCTAGAAAAACAATGCATCTCAATTGTTACCTGACTCCATAAACCTGAGGACGGTAAAATCTGCTGGTTTCATATTTAACTTCTTCTTTTTTTGGAGAGGTTTATGCTATAGGGTGCATGCACTTGCCAGAAAGACAGAGAAAGAGACAGAGAGAGACAGAGAGACAGAAAGGGAGAAATCACCCCCCAGGGGGGATGGCCATGCCGCAATCCCTTCTCCTCCATTCTCCTCTCAGGATCTTGGGCACGCACACACACATGCCCGGTGTGAGTTTTAAGCCACTGGGTCCGGTATGTGAATCACGGTGGACTACATGGGAGTCCAGCAACATAGCCATTATGCTAACTGCTGGTCCCCTCATATTTAACATTTTAAGCGGTTGAAAAAAATGAACAGGATAATATTTTGTGACATACACGTTACACAAAATTCAAATTTGTTGTATTCATAGGTAAAGTTTAATTGGAACACAGACTTCCTTTTTCTCTTTTTAGGTTTTTGCATAGGGCATGTGTGCTAGAGGGAAAGCAAGGAGTGGTTTCCCAGGGGGGATGGCCACACCGCAATGCTTTCTTTTCCCTTCTCCTCTCAGGATTTTGGGCATGTGTACAGGCACCTGGAGGGACTTTCAGGCTATTGGGTCTGGGACTAAAACTGTGGTCAGCCACGTGGGAGTCCAGCACCTGCTAAGCCCCACAACCTTTTGTGTTCATTTAGGTATAAGAGTATTGTGGTTGCTTTTGTGCTATTAATACAATGAAGTTGAGTAGTTAGGACAGAGACTGTGGTGCAAAAACTTAAACTATTAATTATCTGACCTCTTACAGAAGGGATCATCTTGTCACAAAGGAAAATGTAATGAAATGTAAAAAGTCCTCATTGATCTAAAAACTAAAATTCTAGAGCTTCTAAAAATAACAGACTAGACTCTTTAAGACTGTGGAGTAGGCAGAGTTTTAAAGAGGATAAAATATGTCCTAACCATAAAAGGGATCTAAATTGAATAAAATTTTCATCAAAATATATAATTTATTGGGACCAGCAGTTAGCATAATGGCTATGTCACTGGACTCCTAGGTAGTTGACCACGGTTCGAGTCCCGGACCTGGTGGCTTAAACTCACTCTGTGCGTGTGTGTGTGCGTGCCCAAGATCCCAAGAGGAGAATGAAGAAGAAGGGATTGCGGCGTGGCCATCCCTATATATATAAAATTTATTTCTGTAAAGTATTTCACCTTAGGGGGTGTGTGCTCTCCAGAGAGAAAGAGACAGAGAGATGGTGAGAGGGAAAGTGAGAAATCACTTCCCAGGAGGATGGCTACACCCCAATTCCTTCTCCTCCGTTTTCCTTTGGGGATTGTGGACACGCATGCACATGTGCCTGACGTGAGTTTCGAGCCACCAAGTGTGGGACTCAAACTGCAGTTGCCCACGTGGGAATCTGGCAATGTAATCACCACGCCATCTGCTTGTTTCTAGAACACATTATTTAAGATATATATACTTGAAAAAAGATTGAATCTATAAGATAAATCATTCTTACAAACCAATCAAAATGAAGACAGCTTAATTAAATAAAAAGACAGGATGTTAAATAATGATAAATGAGGAGACTTCAAATAGTGCATACAAAATTGGGATTCGTGCAAGAGTGTTTTAGTGCAAATTTTTTTTAAAGCCTTGTACAGTTTTTTTTTTTTCCGTAATAATCATTGCCATGAACTTTCCAAAAGACCTCTTATGTAAGCAGGCAGTTTCCTATTTTTTTTTTTTTTTTTGGAGCGGTTTTTGCTATAGGGCACATGCTCTCACCAGAAAGACAGAGAGACAGAAAGTGAGAACTCACCCTCCCCCAGGGGAATGGCCACACTGCAATCCCTTCTCCTCCACTCTCCTCTCTGGATCTTGGGCACAAACACACATGCACCTGGTGTGAGTTGAAGCCACCTGGTCTGGGACTCGAACCATGGTCGACTACATGGGAGTCCAGCGACATAGCCATTACGCTAACTGCTGGTCCCTCCTGGGGTGATTTCTCACTTTCTCGACCAATGATTTTATTTCTCCAACTTAGAAAATCTTTGCTGTGACAGAACTCCATTGTCAGGAATTACTGTAGTGTGAAAAAGGCTTTTCTAGATCTTGCCCTATTCCTTGGGTAACTGGCTTCTGACCAGCTGGTACCTCCTGTCTTACATACTCATTGATGAGAGAGAGAATATTTACTTTCCCATTTGGAACAATATTTGCTTCATGCCTCCCCCACTACCACATACAAAAGATGAGTTTGACACTAAAAATCTCAAATCAGCCAGCACTGTACTGTGTCGAAGCAGCTCCTGCAGCTGGTTTGGAAAGTTCCCAGCCTCCTTGGACTGTCACGGGGAGCGCCGGTCACAGGACTGCACACTTGGCCACTTGAGGGCACTGTGAACCCACTGAGCACCCCTCTGAGAGTACTATTTGAAACTGGGAGGCTTCAGGGACACAGTCCGGCTTGGCCCCTGTACCAGGGACATCGTATGATGAGACCGAGGCAGTGGAGGTACAGGAGGGAGCAGTCATGGTCTTCTCACGTCACCTGCTAAGCCCTGTATTTGTCCAGCAAGAAGCTGTGAAGTGCAGCCTTCATGGCAGAGCCCTCTCTGGAGCTGACGTTTTTATAAAAGTATTCTTTTATTTAATTTTATTCATTATTATTCTTTTAATCTGACCAGAGAAAGACACCAGAGAGAAAGAGAGGGAAAGTGAGAGAGCAAGCCACCAGGTCCAGGACTCAACCCACAGTTGGCTGTGTGGGAGTCCAACACTATAACCACCATGCCACCTGCCAGCCTCTGGAGCCTACATTTGATGGGAGTGGGAGGGACTTCTGTGGGACAGACACGATAACCTGAGCCAGGGATACATGAGGGGCATCTGCTGCAGAGGAAACCTAGAGAAGCTGTGGGGGACGAGTCTGCCCCAAACCTGCCCTGCCTAGCTCAGCACGGCCAGCTCCCTGTCTGGAGGAGGAACAGAGAGAAGGCCTGGGTCATCAAGCCCACGCAGGGTTGCAGGTGCCTACGGGAGCCTTCGGGGACAGTCACATCACACCAGTGACATCACAGGTCAGTTCTCTAGAGGGCAGGGAGGAGCTGAACTCCTTTTCTGTTACCCCAGGAGCCCAGCACCCTGAGCAGGGTCATGCCTATCCCTGTCCTGCCTGACTCTGCCTGGGGCACCAGGATCCTCTTCTGGGCTGTCCTTTGTTTCCTGGGAGCAGGTGAGTACTGAGCACAGAGGGGGTGTCCTCTGAACCCACAGGCATTGGTTGTTACTGAATATCACACTCTTCTCTTCTGGGGGCTCAGTTTTTATCTGTTTCCCCAACAGGTTCAGTGAATATTGGAGTCACCCAGTCCCCAAGATACGTAATCACAGAAAAGAAGGGACAGGCCACTCTGAAATGCTATCCCATTTCAGGACACAAGAGTGTATCCTGGTACCAAAAGGCTCCAGACCAGGGCCCCCAGTTCCTTGTTTCATATTTTGAAGAGAGCGAGTACTATAAAGGCATCATCTCTGATCGATTCTCAGCTAAGCAGTTCAGTGACAACCACTCTGAAATGAACATGAGCTCCTTGGAGCTGGGAGACTCTGCCTCGTACCTCTGTGCCAGCAGTTTGGACACAGCCTTGCAGAGCTACTGGCTTTCTGTACCCAAACCTTCCTGTCCCAGCTGAGGATGTGGTAGGGAGAGAGAGGTGGTGCTTCCACACAGCCTTAGCAAACTGCAGGATGTTCATAGTTCTTTCCTAACACTGTCTGCCTTGCTGAACTCAGTCAGAGCTCTCTTAATCTGCACACTTTGCATCCACTGGATGTTCTTAATCTCTGCCAGCATCTTCCAATTCTTAGCAATGGCAGGAGCTTCTCCTTTGAACTAGAGTGTGGGTGTACATTACATGTCATAATGCAAAGACAGACATTAGATGATCCACTTTATCGATGAGGAAGATCTTATCTCATCCAGTATTTTTTTTTTGAGAGGTTTTTTGTTATAGGGTGCGTGCGCTCGCCAGACAGAGAGAGACAGAGAGACAGAAAGTGAGAAATCAACCCCCATGGGGGATGGCCACACCGCAATCCCTTCTCCTCTATTCTCCTCTCAGGATCTTGGGCACACATGCACACACGCCTGGCATGAGTTTAAGCCACTGGGTCCAGGACTTGGGCACACATGCACACACGCCTGGCATAAGTTTAAGCCACTGGGTCCAGGACTTGAACCACGGTCGACTACGTGGGAGTCCAGCGACATAGCCATTATGCTAACTGCTGGTCTCCAGTATTTTATTTTTAACAGCATCAGAACATTATCCAAACCTTTATTTCCAACTCTAAAAACAAATTTTCCTATAATTCCATTGTTCTCTCTTTTTGGTCCACTAAATTGTAGAAGAACATTGTCTCCTTTATTTCAAGAGCATTTCGGAAGCAGTGGGAAGTCAATTCATGGTGTGTGGTCAGTATGGCTTACTGCCTGCCAAATTCCAGGACATATAACTTCAAGCCATTCAATGTTGTCCTGTCTTAGTTCTACATAAAACAAGGCCATGAGGTTCTCCTCGTTTTCTAGATCTTGCCCTATTCCTTGGGTAACTGGCTTCTGACCAGCTGGTACCTCCTGTCTTACATACTCATTGATGAGAGAGAGAATATTTACTTTCCCATTTGGAACAATATTTGCTTCATGCCTCCCCCACTACCACATACAAAAGATGAGTTTGACACTAAAAATCTCAAATCAGCCAGCACTGTACTGTGTCGAAGCAGCTCCTGCAGCTGGTTTGGAAAGTTCCCAGCCTCCTTGGACTGTCACGGGGAGCGCCGGTCACAGGACTGCACACTTGGCCACTTGAGGGCACTGTGAACCCACTGAGCACCCCTCTGAGAGTACTATTTGAAACTGGGAGGCTTCAGGGACACAGTCCGGCTTGGCCCCTGTACCAGGGACATCGTATGATGAGACCGAGGCAGTGGAGGTACAGGAGGGAGCAGTCATGGTCTTCTCACGTCACCTGCTAAGCCCTGTATTTGTCCAGCAAGAAGCTGTGAAGTGCAGCCTTCATGGCAGAGCCCTCTCTGGAGCTGACGTTTTTATAAAAGTATTCTTTTATTTAATTTTATTCATTATTATTCTTTTAATCTGACCAGAGAAAGACACCAGAGAGAAAGAGAGGGAAAGTGAGAGAGCAAGCCACCAGGTCCAGGACTCAACCCACAGTTGGCTGTGTGGGAGTCCAACACTATAACCACCATGCCACCTGCCAGCCTCTGGAGCCTACATTTGATGGGAGTGGGAGGGACTTCTGTGGGACAGACACGATAACCTGAGCCAGGGATACATGAGGGGCATCTGCTGCAGAGGAAACCTAGAGAAGCTGTGGGGGACGAGTCTGCCCCAAACCTGCCCTGCCTAGCTCAGCACGGCCAGCTCCCTGTCTGGAGGAGGAACAGAGAGAAGGCCTGGGTCATCAAGCCCACGCAGGGTTGCAGGTGCCTACGGGAGCCTTCGGGGACAGTCACATCACACCAGTGACATCACAGGTCAGTTCTCTAGAGGGCAGGGAGGAGCTGAACTCCTTTTCTGTTACCCCAGGAGCCCAGCACCCTGAGCAGGGTCATGCCTATCCCTGTCCTGCCTGACTCTGCCTGGGGCACCAGGATCCTCTTCTGGGCTGTCCTTTGTTTCCTGGGAGCAGGTGAGTACTGAGCACAGAGGGGGTGTCCTCTGAACCCACAGGCATTGGTTGTTACTGAATATCACACTCTTCTCTTCTGGGGGCTCAGTTTTTATCTGTTTCCCCAACAGGTTCAGTGAATATTGGAGTCACCCAGTCCCCAAGATACCTAATCACAGAAAAGAAGGGACAGGCCACTCTGAAATGCTATCCCATTTCAGGACACAAGAGTGTATCCTGGTACCAAAAGGCTCCAGACCAGGGCCCCCAGTTCCTTGTTTCATATTTTGAAGAGAGCGAGTACTATAAAGGCATCATCTCTGATCGATTCTCAGCTAAGCAGTTCAGTGACAACCACTCTGAAATGAACATGAGCTCCTTGGAGCTGGGAGACTCTGCCTCGTACCTCTGTGCCAGCAGTTTGGACACAGCCTTGCAGAGCTACTGGCTTTCTGTACCCAAACCTTCCTGTCCCAGCTGAGGATGTGGTAGGGAGAGAGAGGTGGTGCTTCCACACAGCCTTAGCAAACTGCAGGATGTTCATAGTTCTTTCCTAACACTGTCTGCCTTGCTGAACTCAGTCAGAGCTCTCTTAATCTGCACACTTTGCATCCACTGGATGTTCTTAATCTCTGCCAGCATCTTCCAATTCTTAGCAATGGCAGGAGCTTCTCCTTTGAACTAGAGTGTGGGTGTACATTACATGTCATAATGCAAAGACAGACATTAGATGATCCACTTTATCGATGAGGAAGATCTTATCTCATCCAGTATTTTTTTTTTGAGAGGTTTTTTGTTATAGGGTGCGTGCGCTCGCCAGACAGAGAGAGACAGAGAGACAGAAAGTGAGAAATCAACCCCCATGGGGGATGGCCACACCGCAATCCCTTCTCCTCTATTCTCCTCTCAGGATCTTGGGCACACATGCACACACGCCTGGCATGAGTTTAAGCCACTGGGTCCAGGACTTGAACCATGGTCGACTACGTGGGAGTCCAGCGACATAGCCATTATGCTAACTGCTGGTCCCCGGTATTTTATTTTTAACAGCATCAGAACATTATCCAAACCTTTATTTCCAACTCTAAAAACAAATTTTCCTATAATTCCATTGTTCTCTCTTTTTGGTCCACTAAATTGTAGAAGAACATTGTCTCCTTTATTTCAAGAGCATTTCGGAAGCAGTGGGAAGTCAATTCATGGTGTGTGGTCAGTATGGCTTACTGCCTGCCAAATTCCAGGACATATAACTTCAAGCCATTCAATGTTGTCCTGTCTTAGTTCTACATAAAACAAGGCCATGAGGTTCTCCTCGTACAGAGGCCAAACAAGTAAGGGCATTCCAGGGCATTAGAAGACTCAGCCAAGAAATCAGAAATACTAAGATTTTTAATTAGAGTGAGAATTATTGATCCTTGCAAGTTTTAGAGGAAAAAATGTGCTTAAACTTTCACCACTAGAGATCAGAAGATCTCAAATTGCTTTTTCTGTAACAATGTCTCTTAGCAGTTTTCTGGAACTAAAGAAACTGGTGGGTCACATGTTTCTGCGGTGACCCAGTGGGTTTTTCACAGGATAGTCTGGAGAAACCATTGTACATCCACCTGTCCACTGCTGTCAAAAGGGAAAAAAGAGAGAAAGAAAGAAAGAAAAAGAACATTAAAAAGGCTTTTCTTCCTCTTCCAATGTTTTCCCAGGAATAGGCTGTTGGAGAAAGTAAAACTATTTCAGAAACTTGCTAACAGGAGAATCTTGGAAATGTAGCTTCAGAACTTCTAGCCCCTGTGATAAGAGACAGCATATCAGAGGACATCAAGCACTCAGTGCCGAGAGACAAGCATAAGTAGACTTAGCTACACAGCACAGAAATGGCAACTAAGGGAATGCAGACAATTTTTTTATCATCTTGCTCATGGAAACCTATTATAGTTCATCTGTATCCACATTATACAAGTGAAAAACACAGATTGTAGTTTAGTTGTTCACTTGTTAATTTATCCAGCAGGTATTTTAGGAATAGTTATGTTAAACTTTACTTTGAAATGTGGGAAAGGACATTTAATTTTAAAAAGCACACATCTTGTTTTTAGAAGACTAAAGTCTGACATTATGTCTCTAATTATTCGTACATGAATCAGTCAATCAATTCTCTGGCAGGGAAAAATGACATATTCAGAAGCCAAAACAGTTTAATCAAAGGTGTTCAGAGGGAGGACAGGCTTAAGGAAGTCAGGAGGAGCTGAAGGACCAGGGTTGAGGGAACCAGGCAGGTGGGAAGTCAGTGCAATTCCTGAGCCTGAGGGAGAAGGGGCAGATGCTGCATTATTGGAGCTTATGGGAGGTATGGCGACAGGGTGACCAGAGGGAGGAACTTGATCAAACCAGAAGGGCAGGAGACAGAAAGGGGAGGCCCAAATGCTCTGGAATCTCTTCACTTCCCCTCAATATTCAGCTGGTTTTTCCCATAACAGACCCACCTGAAAGCCTGGATGACAGCCGCTGCCAGGCTCCTGGAGCACAGCACAAGGCAGAGAGGCCAGGGAGTGGACGGGTGGAGGGTGGGGCACACTAGAATAGCCAGCACAGTGCCATCAGATTATGATGGGACCTTGTGTAGATGAACACAGACTGCTTTATCTATTTTCTTTTAATTGACCAGAGAGCATGTGTGTTCATCAGAGAAAGACAGAAAGAGATACAGACAGAGAGATGAAGTGAGAATGCATCCCCCACATGAGACATGGTCATTCCTCCATTTCTCCCTCCTTTTGGGGTTTTGGACACAAACACAAACACACCCAAAAAGTTTCTCAATTTTCTGGGTCCGGGACTTGAACTGCTCTCTTGGCCATGTGGGAATCAGCTCCCCTGACCACCATGTCACCAGCCAACTCCACAGACTACTTTAGTTCTACTCTTTTATATGAAAGTATTAAAAAAGAAATTCTTGATATATTGCTCATATGCTTTGTGCCATATATTTAAATACATTATTTCAATTCATTTCTTCAGAATGCTACAGAATGATTGACTCAATTTCTACATGTGAAAAACACAAATTGTTAGCAAGTTTAGATGGTTCATCAAAAGTGGGAGAGTGACTAATGAAAACAGAACTGAGGTTCGAACACAGACCACACTGCCTTTCAATCCAGTCTTAAAGTCAAAGCACTCCATGAATTTTGGTAACAGGAGACATCCTGTTTATGGAAATTATTTCCATAAATCATTTCCACAACACGTTTCATCTGGGAGGCTTGAGGCTGAAGGGGAAAGGGTGCCATGTCTGCGACGAGGAGACATCAATCGGTTCATATTCTGACCTTGTGCTGGTGACTTGAAAAAGATAGGTCTGGTTTTCTCATTTGTTACCTGAAGTCCATAGCATGTGAGCTACAGTGATTTATACTGGCAAATAGAATGAAGAGGCTACTACATAGTATAAATTCAAAGAAACTTAGTTCCCTATTAACTCTGAGACACGAATGGTCCAACAGTGACTTGCTGTGGGCAGTTTAAGATCAAAGGGCCTCACTGATTACTTTTGTCTGAAGCCCCGTGTTCCAGGTACAGAGTCATCTGAAATGAAAATGCAGCAGCCTCATCCTTCATTATGTGAAATGGCCATAAAGAGTGGCCACTTGAGGGAATAGGAAAGTGTTTTCCACTGCAGCACTTCCTGTTTGATACTCAGTCTGATACGCAAGAGGGGGTGGTATTCCCTGAACGCTGTGGCTTCTGAGCAACTGAAGATCACACAAAAGAGCTGTTAGAAGAAAGGACAGTATCATTTAAAGAGAGACAATCATAAAAAAAAGTGTCATGAGCCTTCCATTACCTCCTCATGGCCCTGTCTGATTTCAGACTCAGCTGCATTGTCAGTTATGTGCAAGGCCACCCTTGCATTTGGTGACACTGCCTCTCAGTTCCTGCAGGGGTCTCTGTTCCTGCTGTCCCAGGGTCTTCTATGATATCACATGAGCCCACTGGCCTGCATGTAATCACAGTCACTGGGAACCCGAGTTCTCTTTCTCCAAAACAGGACTGGGAGATGTGGCTCTCCCCTGGACCTGAAATGGGCCCTGGGCTGCTCTTCTGTGTGGTCGCTTATCTCCTATGGGCAGGTGAGTACTGGTTACAAGAGAGCTCCCTTCCCTGGCCTTCTTAAGACCTCAATACAAGCCTTTCTGCTGGGGAGACATCATCAGGCTGTGTCACTTTCTCTTCCAGGACCCACGGATGCTGGAATCACCCAGAGCCCAAGGCAAAAAGTCACAGTGAAGGGAAAGAATGTAACTCTGCAATGCCACCAGAATGACAACCATGGATACATGTACTGGTACCGGCAAGACCTGGGACACGGGCTGAGGCTGATCCATTACTCATTCGGAGTTAACGACACCAACAAAGGAGACATCCCAGATGGGTACAGAGTCTCTAGATCAAAAACAGAGAATTTCCCCCTCACTCTGGAGTCACCCACCCCCTCGCAGACATCTGTGTACTTCTGTGCTACCAGTGACTACACAGTGCTGCACGGCTGCATCTTCCCTGCACACAAAACGTCATTGGAAAGACCAAGGTTGCCCTGTGCTCATGAGGCCTGACCCCATCCTGGCAAGTCTGGTCTCCTTGAGAGTCACAGAGTCCTTGCTAGACTGGGGACCTTGAAGTTCGGAGAATATGACCCAGTGTTTAGGTTCATCCTGATGCCACGCTTAACCTGAATGGAGGTCACCAGCACACTTAGCTTTCTCATCTCCCTTCTGAAATTCTCTCAGCTTGCAGAGAGAAACAAATATCTTCAACTGAAATCCATAATGACTCAATAATCATTACAGAAAAAGTGAATGAAAGAGATACATTTCTTTTCCTTTTTCACAAGGAGATATTTGGCAGATGCTTTCTTCCAAAACAGGTTAGACTACTGTTGAGAAGCTAACACTGTTGCGGGAGCATATTCTACTTGAGAACCATGCTCTGAGTTGTGGGATCCACAGGCTCTTCCCACAGAACCTGAGTCCTAAGTTGGAAAGCTCTCCATCTGCCCTTACTGAATCATGGGCAATAACCTCTTTTTCAGTGTGGATCTTGGTCACCTGGAACCAGGTGAACTTTGGGTACAGGTGGGAAAGTCCTTCTTGAGCTTGCCAGGCCCCAGCCATAGACCTTCCCATGTGGTGGCACATTGACCTCTTCCTTGTCTCTCCTTCTGATTCTGTGTCCTTGCCACTGAAGTGTGGTTTCTCCATCAAGATTGCATGAAGGTGTAGTATTCCAGGCTGGAGAGCCTTGCCAGAGATCTCATCTGATACCTTCAAATCCACCCTCTTCTTCTCACCTCTGTATTCTTCAATGACTTTATCGCCCCTTTCCCACAGTCCCTCCTACCTTTCTGCTTACACTCATAAACCTTCACTCGTGTGGTCTCTGTTCCTGGCTGCCTAATCCCAAGGGGCAAGAGCCATGCAAGTCCTAGGTCACAGACCTTCTGTCTGTCCCTCCATCACTGCCAGTTCTCCTCAGTTTTGATGCTCCAGCCACACTCCGTACATTCAGTCTATCCTCACATGTGCCGGCAGGTTTTCACCCTCAAGATGAACATACATCCTTCCCTTATTCTTAGATTTCCACTTCATTCCTTACAGGAAAATATATTTTGGGATATGTACTTAAATTTTACTAGAAAAAAATTAAGGAAAAAATTTATTTGAGAAGCATTTTTTTTTTTTTAGTGGAGACACGAAAGAACACAAGCTGTAAAAAACAATATGTTTACTTTCAGTTTCAGTAAACTAAATCATGTGCATCAAAACACTCCATAAAAGAGGAGATGCTAAGCCATAGACAGGGAAAAGCTATGAAGATGCAAACAGATGCAGGAAGATGAGCAAGACAGAGACCGCTGAGACTCGGTGACACCGTGGTCGTCTGCGTTTCCCAGCCTCGTGTGTGGGTAGAGGGCTGGGAACATGGGATGAGGTTCTTTGTAATGGGCTGTGGTAAAATGATGGAAGTTGATTCCAAATTTGGCCCTTAAAATATCCTGAGTGGGCTGGAAAGTTGTGTGGGAGTTAAGGCACTGGATCCCACATGGCCAGTCGCAGGGTTCATGTCCCAGATGCAGTGGTTTGAAAATCACATGAGGAGCAAGTGTGTGCCCAACATCCTATTGCTGCATGGCCATTTCCCTCTGTGGGGTGATCTCTCTCTCTCTCTCATGCCCTATAGCATAAAATTTTAAAAATTATCCTGGGAGTGCCAGGTGGTGACTCATAGGAAATGTATGCAGACTCATAAGGGAAAAGTCTGGGACTCCCTGAGTAAGGCGCATGCACACACATGCCCATGAGTCGGGTTGGCTGACACCGAGGGGAGGTGGCAGCATGAGGATCCTGGTGAGGGAGGCTGTCTTTCTGTCTGTCTCCAGTTCTCTCTGTCTGTCTCTTGTATAAGATATTAATACATACACTAAAATAATAGCCTGTTGACTGTGATAGGGTCCTGGAGTATACTTTCTGGAGATTAGTTGGAAGGATTCATGGGAAATTGGCATGACATAAGTGCTCTGATGGAATCTAGAGGAGTCTGCATGCAGGCTTCCTTATTCTCTCTTCTTCCCAGAAGGGGTCACACACAGCTCACTCTACCCTAAGCAGCAAAATTCTGCAACATGTGTACAATATGTTTACCAAGGAGCCCATAACATTCAGTGTCAGGGAGATGTTACTGGGAGATGATCATACAAGAGCCACTGACTAACAGGCACCACAAATGCAGACCTTCAGGAGACCCAGTGTTCAGCATTACAGTGTTTGCACTTACACTCCAGGCCCAATGAACACCCTTCTCAGTTAGGGAAACTTCATATCAGTGCAGGGAACTGGTTACCACCCCAATTCCCAGACACCAGCAAAGGGCAATCTGGCAAGCGGCATTTTCCAAGCAAGAGCAAACTCAAGCCTGCGAGTAACACTCTTCTTCTCAGACACCCTGCAGCTCCCTTTCGCCATGTCCTGATGAACTTGGATGCTCCAATGTTACACACTGCCTAGTTATGACATGAAAGCAGCCTGCCTGGTGGTTGGGTCCTAACTTCTTCGACAGCTCTGAAGAAAGCTGCTCGTTCCACACTGGGTTTGTGATTGTAGGAGATAAGAATTGTTAAGAGTTGGACCACTGAGATTTTAGGGTTTATTTCGTTTATTTTGTTTTCTATAGCATTGTGCCCTTGTCTAAAAGAGTTAGTATCTCAAATGAGCAGAATTCTCATTCCATACACAATAAAATGGCAATATTTAAGTTTAACCAGGCAAATCACAGAAGAAGAAACATAAATTATTACTAACGGGAATAGAGTCTCACCTTTATTCAGAGTCAGACTATTGCAAACTGTTAAAACAAAGAGTTGATTTTTAATGTATCATATGAAAAATTGTCAAAGGAAGAACAATCCTAAATGTGAGTAGATATTAGACTAGTGGAATTCAACTTACTCAAATGAAACACATGACCTTTGAAAATGTCCTGAAGAAAAAAGAACAAATCCAAACCAGTCAATCACTCAGTGATGAGAAAATGGAAAATGCAGCCATATTAGAAAAGGATGCCCAGACACTAACCATGGTAGTTTAATTGTATCATATGCAAAAGATTTACATTTTTTTCCTATTGGAAAAGGTCTGTTCAATTTCGCATCTATTGTTACAATATCTGTGTTGATATTTTCAGAAATAAGCAAATTCTCAGGTACTAGCCAATGTAGTTTAATTGTATGTTATGTTAGAGGTGTAAGTTTTAATATTGCAGAAGATCTGTTCCAGTTTGAATTTATTGTCGCAATATCTGTGTTGGTATTTTCAGAAATAAGCAAATTATATACCATCGTAAGTAGGATGTCGGACCTCCCACTTGTGGCATTGGTGCCTTAGAAATGCAGGCACTGTGGTGAAGGCTTTGGTATGTACACATCATGAGGATTGAGGGAGGCAAAGAGAAAACTGGGCATCAGCCTTCAGAGAAAACAAAATGTTCAACCTCTGTGCTTGAGTGCTATCTTTCCACGCTAGCTTGGAGCATGCCAGCTAATGCTCAGGAATAAATAGCCCAGCTTCCACCTTGTTTAGGTTTATGCAACTATGAGAATGAAGAATCTTTGAAAAGGAGAAATGCCCAAAGAGAAAGATAATCCCAGATGAACGAAGAAGTCACTTGCTGCTCTTTCAAAGCTGAGTTGCCTTTGACACATTCAAGGAAAAAATCCATCACCACATAGAAGATCGATTTAAGAGTTACTGCAGAACTCAAACCGCTCGAACCAGTAAGAGTTAGTTTCTAAGATGGTGGGTTCCACTGTGGGTGACAGTGATGTAATCATGGGAACTGCCACGTGGGGACAAGGGATGTCAGTCGTTCTCTACTCCTGCTCACTAGGACTCTGATCTAGTGAATGTCCTGCCCTGCCCTGGCCCGCCATGGCCACCAGGCTCCTCTGCTGGGCAGCCCTGTGTCTCCTGGGGGCAGATGAGTCCTCTGAACACCAAAATATCCACAACGGATCTACCATTGATTTTTATGATCATTTTCCTTCTTCCCATTTTCAAATTGTATCTTTTCCCCCCACAGAACTCATAGCAGCTGGAGTCACCCAGTCCCCCAGACTAAAGATTTCAGAAAAAGGACAGATCATAGCTTTTTGGTGTGACCCTATTTCTGGCTACAATACCTTGTACTGGTACCGGCAGAGACCGGGACAAGGGCCAGAGCTCCTGACTTACTTTCAGAATGAGGCGATGGTAGGTGAATCTCTGTTGCCTAAAGATCGATTTTCTGCAGAGAGACCCAAGGGCGCAGACTCCACTCTGAAGATCCTGCGGGCAGAGCTGGGGGACTCGGCTGTGTATCTCTGTGCCAGCAGCTTAGCCACAGCATCACAAGGACGCTCCCCACCTGTGCACAAAATTGTAGGTTCCCCTCTCCCTCCCCAGCCCACAGGCAACCCTAAAGAGAGGCTCCACCATTTCCTTGTTGTCCAAGGGAAAGAAGTGTGTTTGCAGTTAAGAGTCACATCATGGGAGACATACATTGCTTTTTGAAATATGAGGGCTACAGTGTGGTTTCAAAATAATTAGGACTTGGGAATTTGAAGCAGTTTTCAGTGAAGCATAAAGAAGCCCAAACTGAAAGTAAGTTACTGTAGACTCAGTCCTAAGGGGTAGCAATGACTGTTCTATAAAAATAGGCAATCATGAAACACATAGAATAAACTTATTAATAGAGATGGTTATGGTATGACAGTGATAAACAGCAGCCTCTTCCTCTGTAGTTGTACTATCTGAATTATTTGAATAGATATCTTTTTAAAATTTGTTTGTTTAGGTTTTTGCCATAGTGTATGTGCACTTGCCAGAGAGCTAGGAAGTGAGAAATCACACCCCCACGGGGGTAGGGGTGGGGATGGTCATGCCACAATCCCTTCTCCTTTATTCTCTTTCTGGGACTCTGGGCAAGCACACACACATGCCTGGCTGAGTTTCATGCCTCCGGGTCTGTGACTTGAACTGCAATCAGCCATATGGGAGTCCAGGAACTTATTCATTATGCCACCCCTCACTCTAGCTTCTTCTATATCTTTGCATTGGAAATTTACTACAACAAATTCTCAACACATATAATGTGTTTTGAAAACTTTTTCCCTCTGTTTTTGTGAAAACATATGAATAATAATAATGTCATTACTGATAATGATGGTGATAATCAATTCAACTATTTTATTTAGTACTTTCACAACTTCAAAGAAATGTACACCCACAGATACGCTGGTCACCAGTCTCCAATATTAGCTTAATGTGAATTCCACGTTCTCCAGAGTCTCTAACTCTTCCATGTTATTGTCACAGTCCAGCGCTGCATCCAGGCTTGGGCCAGTAGCTCAGGGGCTGTGTAAGACATTTCCACCTGTCTGCCTTTGTACATTAAAATAGTCCTGTGGAGCATTGAAATATTCCTTGTAAGAACTTCAATTGCCACGTGTGACAATATACTCCTTGGGTTTAAGTTCTTACCCTCTACTCTACATTCTGCCTGGATGTTGTAAGATCATACAGACATATTCTGAAATACTGGTTGGAAATCAGCTTCCTGGGAGCCCTCTGAAGGCATCGACACTGTCGCTCAGCACTCATTTCTTCTCCTTCCTCCTTATCCAACCTGCACTGCATGTCACATGCCACATCTGTTTACCCGCTGCTCGTCTCCTGCCAATTTCTTCATCTGACCAAACCTCGTCAGGTGATGGATGGACACAGCCATTTGTCGTCTCCTTGCCAAAATCGTTACTGGGTTCTGTTTCTAATCTGCTACATCTTTTTTATGTTACAAATTGCCGCCAAAATCGTTACTGGGTTCTTCTAATCTGCTACATCTTTTTTATGTTACAAATTGCCTCCTAAGTTTCCTGAAATCACCTTCTATTTCTTTGAACATAGGGAACATAACTATTTCAGAGTCTTTCTGATCATTTTCACATTTTAGATTTTTTGAGGCTTTTTTTTTCTTTTTCTACTGCTTCTCAGTGTTCATTTTTTATGAATTCTCTATTTTTCTTTATGAACCTGATTACCTTTGATCTTGTGTCAGACACTATAGTTGTAGAAATATTTTTTCATCTAAGCTGGGTCTATCCTCTTCCAGAGAGACTTTTATTTTGCTTCTGCCGAGTGTATGGAAGTTTTAAAAACCTGGAGTTCCCCGAACAAGAATTCAAGGCTTCAGGTCTCCTGGTCATGTGGAGAACTGGTTTACCTCCAGCTCATCATCTATAGGAGTTTGCCAGTGCTTGAGTTTGCTGTTCTGTTGTCTTTGACCTTGTCTCCCTGGCCTGGTGGTCAGCCCTATGTGTACCAGGTCATGTCAGGATCAGCAAATACACCCAATGACTAGAGACAGCTGCTCTCACCTCCTCAGGCTCTTGCCCTGCCCATGAAACCAGCTAAGATTCCTCACCATATTTTTAGGGCATCAATTCATTAAGCTTTTTTTTTTTTTAATTTTTATTATCATCATAATCTTCTTTATATTACATTGGATTACATATAACTTTACAGTGTATTACATTGTTTTTTCAAAAGGGAATGCCATGCATGTCAGTCAGTACAGAGACATTAATCTCCACACTTCAACATTCCGTATCTTTTCTGTTTTCCCCAATCATTATTTTTATTATTCTAATTATTTTTATAAAACAGTCAATTGCTATTTCTCGTTTTGCTTGTAAAAATACTTTGCCCATCATGAAATACTTCTCAGACCAATCCAGTTGAGAATACTATACATGTCATCATCAACAGTTAATAAGCCCTATCTGTTTCTCACTAACGTCCTGTCTCTCTATTGTTCACTTGCTATCTTTCTCTATCCTCTTCTCTTCACTTACCCCATTCCACACTGTCCTATTCTCATTAAGTACCTTCACTGTTTTTATGTCCTCCGAATTTTTGCTCTCTATTATAGAGTGCGGATAGTCGGTATATATTGAGTGGATACATACAATATCTTTCTTTCATAGCCTGGCTTACTTCACTCAGCAATAGATCCTCCATATCTGACCATTTTCTATCAAATTCCAGGGTCTTGTTATTTTTTATGGCTGAGTAGTATTCCATAGAGTATATATACCACACTTTTCCAATCCATTCATCAGTTTGTGGACATTTAGGTTGGTTCCATGTCTTGGCAATTGTGAATAATGCTGCAATAAACATGGATGTGCAAGCACTTTTCTGACTGAGCGTTCTCCTGTCTTTTGGGTAAATACCCAGAAGTGGGATTGCTGGATCAAATGGTAGTTCTATTTGTAGATCTTTGAGGAACCTCCATATTGTTCTCCACAGTGGTTGAACTAGTTTACATTCCCACCAACAGTGTAGGAGGGTTCCCTTTTCACCACATCCCCGCCAACACTTATCACTTTTTATATTCTTAATCTTTGCCATTCTGACAGGGGTTAGGTGGTATCTCATTGTGGTTTTTATCTGCATTTCCCTTATGATGAGGGATGTTGAGCATTTCCTCATATGCTTTTTGGCTGTTCGTATGTCTTCCTTAGAGAGACTTTTGTTCAGCTCACTTTCCCATCTTTTAATCGGGTTAATCATTTTTTTTCGCATAAGGCACTTGAGTTCCCTATGTATTCTCGTTATCAGTCCCTTGTCTGAGGCATATTTAACAAAAATATTTTCCCATTCTGAGGGTTGTCGGTTCACACTTGTTACTGTGTCCTTTGCTGTGCAGAAACTTCTTAGTCTAATATAGTCCCACTTGTCTATTTTAGGGATTATTGCCTGTGCTTTGGGAGTCTTATTTAAGAAGTCTTTGCCTACTCCAATGTCTCCCAGAGTTTCCCCAGCATTTTCCACAAGTAGTTTTATTGTCTGAGGTCTTAGGTTCAGATCTTTGATCCATTTTGAGTTGACTGTTGTTAATGGTGAAAGATGGGGGTTCAGTTTCATCTTTCTGCAGGTGGATACCCAGTTTTTCCAGCACCATTTACTAAAGAGGTTTTCCTTTTCCCAATGGATTGACTGATATCCTTTGTCAAAGATCAGTTGGCTATAAGCTTTGGGAGTTATTTCTGGGGTCTCTATTCTCTTCCATTGGTCCACATGTCTGTTTTTATGCCAATACCATGCTGTTTTGATGACCACAGCTTTATAGTATATCTTGGGATCAGGGAGTGATATGCCTCCTACTCCATTCTTCTTACGCAGGATTGCTTTTGCAATACGAGGTCTTTTATGGTTCCAGACAAATTCTATAATTGTCTTTTCTAGATCTCTGAAGAATATCTCTGGTATTTTGATTGGAATTGCATTAAACATGTAGATTAATTTGGGTAGAATTGCCATTTTGATTATGTTAATTCTACCAATCCAGGAGCATGGGATGTCCTTCCACTTTTTTATGTCACTTTCAATGTCTTTTTTAAGATTCTCGTAGTTTTCTTTATAAAGGTCTTTGACTTTCTTAGTTAGGTTTATCCCTAGATATCTTATACATCTTGTGGCTACGGTGAAAGGGATTCCTTTCTTCAGCTCTGCTTCATTCAACTTGTTGTTCATAAATAGAAATGCTATAGATTTTTGGATATTGATTTTGTATCCTGCCACCTTACTGTATTCACTTATTACTTCAAGCAGTTTTTTCATGGATACCTTTGGGTCTTCTAAGTATACCATCATGTCATCTGCAAATAAAGATATTTTCAACTCTTCTTTGCCTATTCGAATGCCTTTAATACTGTTCTCTTCTCTGATTGCAATAGCTAAGACTTCCAGTACTATATTAAAGAGCAGTGGAGAAAGTGGGCAGCCTTGCCTAGTACCTGTTTTCAGAGGAAAAGCTTTCAGCTTTTCCCCATTCAGTATAATATTAGCTGTAGGTTTTTCATAGATTGCTTTTATTGTGTTCAGAAATGACCCTTCTATACCAATCTTACTGAGAGTCTTAATCATAAAAGGATGTTGTATTTTATCAAACGCTTTCTCCGCATCAATTGAGATGATCATATGGTTTTTATCTTTCTTTCTGTTAATGTGGTGTATTACATTTATGGTCTTGCGTATATTGAACCACCCTTGCATCCCTGGTATAAAGCCTACCTGGTCGTGATGAATGATCTTTGTTATATGTTGTTGGATACGATTTGCGAGTATCTTGTTGAGAATTTTCGCATCTATATTCATCAATGATATTGGTCTGTAGTTTTCCTTTTTTGTCATATCCTTATCTGTTTTGGGGATGAGGATGATGGAGGCTTCATAAAATGAATTTGGAAGGTTTCCTTCCTTTTGAATCTTTAGAAATAATTTTAGTAAGATAGGGGTTAATTCTTCCTTGAAAGTTTTGTAGAATTCACAAGTGAAGCCATCTGGGCCTGGGCTTTTCTTTGTTGGGAGATTATTAATTACTGATTCAATCTCCTGGCTTGTTATAGGTCTATTCAGATTCTCTATGTCTTCCTGATCCAATCTTGGTAGTTTATATGCATCCAGGAATTTGTCCATCTCCTCCAGGTTATCTTGTTTGTTGGCGTAAAGTCGCTCATAGTATCCTCTAATGATATTATGTATTTCTGCTATGTCCGTGGTAATATTGCCTGTTTCATCACATATTTGATTAATCTGGTTTCTTTCTTTCTTCTTCTTGATCAGTCTAGCCAATGGAGTATCAATCTTGTTGATCTTTTCAAAGAACCAGCTTTTGCTTTCATTTATTTTCTGTATGGTTCGTTTATTTTCTATTTCATTTATTTCTGCTCGAACCTTTATTATTTCTTTTCGCCTGGCATTTTGGGGGTTCGTTTGTTGTTGTTTTTCCAGTTCTCTGAGGCATGATGATAAGTTATCTACTTGCCATCTTTCCATCCTTTTCTTATGTGCACTAATTGCTATGAATTTCCCTCTTATGACTGCTTTTGCTGTGTCCCATAGGTTCTGGACACTTGTGTCCTCATTATCATTTGTTTCCATAAATTTGTTTATTTCAGCCTTAATTTCTTCAGTAGTGAAGAAGTCATTCAGAAGTAGGTTGTTCAGTTTCCATGTGTTCGTGTGTTTTCGGGGTTGTTTCTTGAAATTAATCTTGAGTTTAATTCCATCATGGTCAGAGAAGATGCTGGGTACAGTTTCTATGCCTTTGAATCTGTAAAGGCTTGATTTGTGTCCTAATATATGATCTATCTTTGAAAAGGTTCCATGTCGGGGTGAGAAAAATGTATATGTTGTGGATGTAGGGTGGAAAGTTCTATAGATATCTGTCAAGCCCATTCCATTTATAGTATCATTTAAGTCCTGTATCTCTCTATTTATTTTCTGTCTAGAAGATCTGTCTATAGGAGATAACGGGGTGTTGAGATCTCCAACAATTATAGTATTTTTCCCTATGTCTCCTTTTAGCTCCAGCAGTCTTTCCTTCACATATTTAGGCGCACCTGAGTTGGGTGCGTAGATATTTATAAGGGTTATATCTTCTTGCTGGATTACCCCATCTACTATTATATAATGCCCTTCTTTGTCTCTTCTTACAGTCTTTGTTTTAAAATCTATTTTGTCTGAGATCAATATCGCTACTCCAGCCTTTTTCTGATTTCCATTTGCATGGAATATCTTTTTCCAGCCCTTGACTTTTAGTCTATGTATATCTTTATCCATAAAGTGAGTTTCTTGTAGGCAACAGATAGAGGGTTTCTGTTTTCTTATCCATTCAGCTAGTCTATGTCTCTTAACTGGGGAATTTAATCCATTGACATTCAATGTAATTATCGATATTTCCATACCTGATCCTATCATTAAGTGAGCCATTTTCTTAGTTGTTTTTTGTTCTCGTATAACTGTCTCTGATTTTTTAGTTTTCCTGGTATAGTACTCCCTTCAAAACCTCTTGAAGAGCTGGTCTGGTGTTGGTAAATTCCTTCAAATTTTGTTTATTTGAGAATGTTTTTATCTTTTTTTCCCATATAAAAGATAATTTTGCCGGGTATAGTATTCTTGGTTGAAATTGTTTTTCACTCAACACTTTGACTATGCTTCCCCATTCTTTCCTTTCCTGCATTGTTTCTGCTGAGAGATCCGATGTTAGCCTGATGGGGTGACCTTTGTAAGTAACCTGGCGTTTCCCTCTTGCCAACTTTAGTATCTTGTCTTTATCTGTTGTTTTTGCCAGTCTGGCTATGATGTGCCTTGGAGATGATCTTCTTGGGTTGATTCTACTTGGGGTCCTCTGTATTTCTTGGGTCTGGATATTTGAATGCCTTTCTAGATTTGGAAAGTTTTCTTCCAGGATCTCATGGAATAAATTTTCCAGGCCCTTATTATTTTCTTCCTCCTCCGGAATACCAATTATCCGAATGTTGGGGCGCTTGATGGTGTCCAGTATTCCTCGTA